GTCATCCCAACCTTTGATGGAGACGTCCTCAAATGGCAGGAGTTTTGGGATTCCTTTTCTTCCTCCATTCATAGCAATGATGCTCTTACTGTGATTGACAAATTTAACTATTTGAATTCATGAGGGGGAAGCTAAGCGTTGTATATCCGGACTCCCACTAACATCATTAAACTATGATACAGCAATTTCTTTACTGAAGAGTAGGTTTGCTAACAAACCAATAATTGTAAACTCACACTACAAGTCGCTAATAGAAATTCCTCCTGTTAAGTCTAATGACACAAAATTCTTGCGTCGTACCTTCGACATAATTGGAAAACAATATGAGATGCTTACAAGCCTTAGGGGAGGATACAAATTCAAACTACTTCCTCACACTTATTACTAGTAAGTTACCTCTCAATGTTCTACTGAAGGTTGAAGAACTAAACTTAGGCAAAGAATTAAACGTAAATCGACTTTGTAGTACAATTCAAAACATTCTAATCGTTAGAGAGAAATCAGAGATGCTGTTGGGAATTTCTACTAAGTCTAGGGATGTGACTGTGGAGCATATCATTCATAAACCTACCTCAACTACCGAGACCCTGTTAACTGGTGATAGGTCCTGCAATCTAAGACGATGTATATTTTGTGAGAAAGACCATTGGAGTGATCAATGCACGGCATTCAGCACAGTAAGTGAGCGTAAGGACAAAATAAAGGGGTTATGTTTTATTTGTTTAAAAAGGGGATATAGCCTTAAAAAATTGTAAAACTTTCAAGGCTTGTGTTTTTTGTAAGCAAAGCAAAAATCACCACAGGAGCCTTTGCCCTAAACAGTTTCCACCAGGTATCACCAAAGATGCTGTGAATTCCCCGACTGTTCCTACGGGACGAGAGTTACAAGTACCAAAACCAATTGGAGGCTCGTCACACTTGACCACAACTCAACTAAAATCAACTAAGTTATCGTCTCTTCTTGCAGTTAACGAACAGGTAATTTTACAAACTGCAATTGTAAATGTTACAAATGAAGTTAACAAACTAACTCACACTGCTAGACTTTTATTCGATTCAGGTAGTCAAAGGTCATACATGTCAAAGACATTAGCTTCTAAGTTACAATTAAAATCCGAACAACATCAGATTTTAAATGTGTTCACTTTCGGAAACAAAAGTTGTAAAACTCTTGAGACACCTGTTGTTTGTGTTGGTATATCGCTTTTAAATAAAGACACAATCAACGTACAAGCAAATGTTGTGCCTCAAATAACTGGACAAGTCCACTCAAGCGGGATGATAGATATTATTGATCAAATAAAATCAATATATATATCCTAAATTAACTTTGGCTCAAGGTCAACACCTGAACTCCGAAATTGACCTTCTTATTGGAAATGACCATTACTTGGACTTTATAAATGACGACAAAATTGAGGTAAGCAATGGACTTTTCCTCTTAAACACTAAATTAGGCTGGGTCATCAGCGGAAGGAGCTTAATAAACTCTATTGAAACTGACTCTTACTCAACTTCATTCTTAACTACGGTCCAGCCATCTAACTTGTTTGTTCCTAAAGCTTTCTTTCATTCTGCAGATTCTCAACTTGTAGAACAACTTAATGACAAAGACCTCTGAGTCTTGAAACTTTAGGTATACATGATAATCCATTTGAAATTGATGATGATATTGCTCTAAAGCAGTTTAATAATACTATCCAATTAGTCGAGAATAGGTATTCGGTTTCTTGGCCATGGAAAGAATACCCCCCAAACTTGCCGGATAATTATTTTCTCTCATTAGCTCCACTGAAATCGCTTGTGAAAAGGTTATCAAGTCAACCAGATTTGCTTCAAAAGTATGATAACATAATCAAGGAGCAGATGATCAGCGGGAATCATTGAACAAGTTCCGGAAACTGGAAATGCCATTGTTAAGCATTATATTCCACATCATCCCATAATTAACGAAGCAAAATCCACAACAAAGGTAAGAATAGTGTATGATGCTTCAGCCCAGTCAAAGAAATCTTCTAATAGTTTGAACGACTGCCTTTATCGTGGCCCAGTAATACTAGAGGACTTACGCGGATTGCTTATACGTTTTCAACTCAACCCTATAGGGATAATAGCTGATATAGAAAAAGCTTTCCTTCAACTGAACTTAAACATACCTGATAGAGACGTTACTAGGTTTTTATGGTTAAAAGATTTGTCAATGCCAGTGAATCAAAACAAAATTGAGGAACTAAGATTTTCCAGAGTTCCGTTTGGTGTTAGTTCAAGTCCTTTCTTATTAAGTGCTACTATAAAGCACCACCTAACCCCATAGTATACCCATAGTGAACTAACAGAAGACACCAAGAAATTGAAAACTTCATTCTATGTTGACAATGGTAACTGGAGTCAACGACTTTGTAACTGATTTGTTTTCACAAGCAAACATGAACCTCCAAGGATGGTGCTCCAACTCTCAGGCGCTCAAAGAGAACATACCTCATGGTAAGCTCACAAAAGAAGATGAATCAAATGTAAATGTCTTGGGTGTAAAGTGGGATACTACAGAGGACACTTTAAGCATAAAACCAATTAACTATAGCCTATAGAAGATATTTGTACAAAGAGATTGTTGAGAGAGATTGTTTTGAAACTCGTATCCTCAATATTTGACCCTTCTGGTCTATTTATCCCAGTAACATTGAAAGCAAAGCTTTTTATTCAAAGTTTGTGGGAAGAAAATTTGGACTGGGACGTTCCCCTAACCGAGGACAAATGCAAGGAGTGGCAAGAAATAAAACGTGATATTGTCAGCATTTCTAATGTTTCAATACCAAGATATGTTGGTTTAGAACCAACCTCAATCGAGTTACACTGTTTCACCGATGCTTCGAACATTTGCTATGCAACTAGATGTCAACCACACACTGAAAAGTGAACTTTTGATCTAATTTAGCTCAATTCCTCTCTTGACGCCAAATAGCTCCTCTTATTCTAGCATTGTTAAATTATTTCCTTGATGTGTTCTGTTTTAGGCGTGTTTAAATTAGGGGTCCCAACCCAAGTCTCCGGTTAGGAACATAAGAAGGTAAAGCAAGTGGATCTAGCGACAGATATAGAAAGAATACGCGTTTAACATTTTTAGTGTTGGAAAAAACTATACGATTTATTTGGCCAGGTGGTGCTTTGTTTTCAGCTTTAAACATTGCTGCGTCATCTACACAGGTAGCATGATTGTAGCGAGGGTAGACACTTCTTCTGTCTCTTATTATGTACATAAGAATCTCACTTGACTCCTTGGAGCTCTCGTCCCTACATAATGTCTGCCACAGTCTCCAAAGATTTGCAAATGGGTTGGCATTGTGACCTTATTTCTCGCATATTTTTCATTGAATTTTTTTTTTTTTTTAATTGTGCTTAATTATCTTTTGGGTTCTAGTGACATTTTTGTACTTACTTATATATCTCTGTGTATTCAGGATTATCACCTTCTTGAGGAATTAGAGGACCCACTCGGTGGTAAAACGTGTCACAGGCCTTAAAATTGATTGTAGATCCCCTGTGGAACTTTCTCATCTTAATGAGCTTCGGAGCTGACCATGGTAAAGGCAGAATTGAATTGACGAACTTTATCCAAATAATTTCTGGATATAAGTATGACAGTCCTATTTTCAGATTGGGAGTTTCCAATAAGAACCCGAAGGTATGGTGAATTGCGCAAATCAGGTAAACAAACCTTTTATTTATGGCAACAAAGATTAAAAACTTAACTGTCTTGGCCAGTCTTTTCTTGCTTAAAAATATGTAAGCCACTACAATGTAAACATTTAACGTTCATTTGTCCGAGATTGGACTATCACAACGGTGGTACTACCACTATGCACCCATCAAATGTTCAATTGAGAGTTTGATGCAAGCGATCATGTTTGTGGTCCCTCCAGCCACTCAGGATCTTCGTCTTACTGGCAGCATTTTATTTTAAATTGAAATGAAATAAGGAAGTTAACCAAACAACAGAAAACACTATAGAGGAATTTTGATACACATTGTAAATTACATGATAATATGGTAATGTAACGGATAACTGCCCTGCTCTCTTTTAAAATCACTTTTAAACATTCACTTCATCACATCGAACTACATGATAATCAGTAAAATACGATATAAGGTAAATCAATTTAACCATAGACAAAAAAATTAAATATTTATTCTTAAACTCTTCATTATGAACCAGACTTAGTTAACAGATTGAAACAAAATATAAATTCCAGCTTTGCCCAAGGCCCCACTTTTGCTCTGGAAGTTTTAAGTCCTGCAGTCTGTGGTTAACCTTAAAAACTATTTCAAACTACGTCCATATGTTATTTGTAAACAAAGGGAATTGAGTTTGATCAAATGTCAACAGATAGCGCCACCTTCCAAACTTTAGCCCTTAAGTGTACTTAAGTGATGCCCTTCCTTAATATTCTGAGACGTATTTGCACATCTACATGGAAATACCTTTAATTTGACACCTCAAACGTTAAAATCCATCAAGCCGTTATCGAGTTATGGCTGTGAAAAGAAAACTGCTTGCGTATTAATATAAACTATCAAACCATTCACACCGTTAGTATCATTTATGAGTTACTGAAGTCAAATTATAGTAATTTTATTGTTTGCTGGATGATTATTCAAGAACAAGTATTGCTCATTTGCAGTATCAGGTAACTTTGATATTGACACAGTCTTGATAACACAGCTGCAGTACACATATTAAGACATCTGATGTTTGGCACTAAACATTTTCTACAGTGGTAACCAGAATATTCAGCACATTGTTTCAGTAGTTTTCTAGTTAAAGCAATTACAACTGTTTACTTTACTCATACGACTTTTTTCCAATTTGAATTTATGCTGATATTCTTTTGATTTTGCGTTAGAGATTTTTAGAGGAACAAACTTTATAAAATAATGTGGAATACATTTCACGCTTGATAAACTTTCAGATGGATGGAAGAACATTTTGATCATACACATAAATGAAATTTGGAGATTTTAACATTTTGTCATGGACTCAGGAGCAATACAGACTAAGGTAAGTTAATAGAGAGGGTAACTATTTCTGTTTCTCCAAAAAAGGATTTTTTCTCTTCATATGACCTGTAAATATATGTGACCTATTTACCATTAGCTTACCTTACCGTCACAATATATGGATAACTTTATTATATTTAACAACTACAACTATAATGTTTTTTATGAATGAAATAGGCTTATACAGCCACAGAGTAGACATAGTCTAATTCTTCTCTATGGCACAACACACCAAAAATGTATAGCATAAAGTGTTTATCATTAATTATATACCCAGTACCACTCTCATATACAGCAGAGAGCTGTACAAATAAAGTCTTGTTAGTCAATAATTATTACATGTTTTACAGAGTTACAGTAATGTTACAGAAACAGAAACAAACATTTAAAGTTTATACAAGTCCAGAAAACAATATAACGACTTAAATTCTTAGAATAAAGTATCAAGCACAGTTTGGATGGATCTTGAGCTAAGATAGTACACTGCTGATGGTTGCACTCAAGGCTAGGGTGACTGCTGTGAAAAAATGATGCTTACAGCTGGTGACTTAAACAGGCCAATGATTATGTACACCATAACAGTGCTTCACTGTCCTTAAACTACTGTGCAGACCAGAAGTCTATTATATTGTAACTTGATTTTGAAAAACCAAAAAAAATAATAAATTGTAAAAAGCAGTTTCTTTCAATTTTGAGTGTTTATATTTTTTCAGAAAGGAAAAATGGAAGAATCTTCAGCACCGTAAAGTCCTGTCAGTAATTATAATCAGCTTCGTAGCTATCATTGCCTCAGTGATTGTCTACTTTGTCATTATCCCAGCTGTTGCTGACTACGCAACTGTTAGGGTAAGATTGAATCTGTCTTTGGGGATAATCTTATTGAAGAGATGCATTTGTTAAAGTATTCCTGTTTGTTATGCTAGCTTGTTAATGGGGTAAATAATACCAAAACCAAAATCCTACATATTTTCATTTAGTTTTGAACTCTGTCAGTTAAAATCTAGTAAACTTCTAATAATCCAATAAAGGTATTATTCATCAAATGAGTTCACCCCATTATAGCCATTTACATAAGGTTTTATTTAATGTCCGATCCAAACAACAGCAGTAGGTAGGCAACTTCCCAATAAGGAGTGTGCCGTATCAATTTCCCACCAATGTAGGAATAGGTGCAACATCAGAAAATTCAAGTGGTCAGAGGTTCCAGATAATTCATGAGACTATAGGCAGAAACTCATAACGATAAGTAGTGAACTAATGGTTGTTCATAACGGCTGCATTAATTGAGAATCCTGCCAATTATGAGATTCGATGGATTTTTCGTTTTCTTAAAGCAAAATCTTTAAACAATTTACATCCACCAACAAATCTGTGAGGTTTGTGGAGACAATGTAATTGGTTATTCAATGGTGAGAGGATGGGTTTGACGATTTAATGAAGGGCGAGATACAGACAGTGCATGATGAGAAACAAAGTGGACGTCCATCTGTGGTTAGACAATGAGAAGTTTTAAGAAAACTGTAAGTTTACGATAAGTGCTCTTGCACGTGAATTTCCACTAGTTTCACAAACAGTAATTTACGAGATTGTTACTGAAAAGCTGGATTATCGTAAACTTTGTACACCTTGGATGCCTAAAACCTTTCTGAACGGGCCAAAACCGCTAAACAGACAGTGCACTTGATTTCTTGACTCGTTATGACAAGGATGGCGTACATTTTTATCGCAGATAGTCACGGGAGATAAAACTTGGGTTGCTTATGATACCCCTGAAACTAAGCGTCAATCAATGGAATGGAGGCACACTCTGGCAAAAGTCAAACCAAAGCAAATCTTGACTCCTCGAAACGTCATGTGCAGTTTTCTGGGACAGAAAAGGCATTTTGCTTATTGATTTTTTGCCATGAGGTCAAACAATCAATAAAGATGTTTATTGCGAGACACTCAGGAAACTACCATGTGCAATACAGAATAAGCGCCAAGGAATGCTCACAAAAGGAGTGGTTTTTGTTCACGATAATGCTCGACCACATACCACAAAAGTGATGAAGACACTTCTTCAGGGCTTAGGCTGGGAATTGACAACCCTCCGTACAGCCCCAACCTTGTTCCAAGCGATTTAAATTTGTTTTATAATCTTAAGTCTTTTCTTGGCGGTCAATGGTTAAACTACGATTAAGATCTGGAAGAACGTGTTACCTCAAACTGTAGTTAACTACACAGGTGGCAACATTCTACGAGGAGGGTATACTCAAACTTCTACCATCCTATGACAAATTCGGAGGGAGTTACCTATGTCAAAAATTGTTTAAGTTGTAGATTTATTTTAAATACTTTTTTCCTGTATCTGTACTTGCTATTATTTTATTTCAAAGCAGAACTTACTTTCTAAACCTACCTCGTAGGCTTATGATAGGAAGAAATGTGAGCATAAATCTATCAAGAAATCTGAACATAAATGTAATTGAACTTTGATCTTAATTTTTGAGGTGATGCCTTCCAAACTACTTAACAATTAAACTATACTATACAAGAGGTTAAGAACCTGGTTGTCAAAGTAATCGTAGGTCGTGTGAATACCAACCAGTTTTAACACGCTTACAATACAATACAATATACAATACAAATCATCTTTATGCATGAAAGTATTTTTACAGGAAATACATAAATTGTGTCACTGAAATGAAGAGAAAAACAAACAATTAGATATATAAGTCTCCTAAATAAAAGATTACATACATAAATTATAACATAATGTATTTCAATTTTTTTTTTTTCTAAAAGTTTTCTATTGAATAAAGTGATTTAAGTTAGATTGAAAATTGTTTTAGCAGTTTCTTTAAGGCATTTTACCTACCCCTAGTTGTACCTACGACTGGTTGTCCCTAGGTCTGAGCCTCTGAGGTATAACTAGACGTAGGGACAACTAGAACTAGACGGAGGTACAAGGGAACGCGGTTCTGTTGTATGCAATCCCTATTGAACTCAATAATGTTGTCAATTTCCCCCCAAGCAGGACAACGATTATTTAAGGTGGGCCTCTCTGCCAGCTAAGCCACGCATGATTGAGATTATAGTATGGATTATAGATGGTATGGATTGCACATGGTATGGGATGTATGCTCATGTAGAAAGACCTTAACGCTGCCTGAGCCAACTGAGCTACCATGCCACCGCTCAGGACTAGTGCCGCTATAAACACACTATTGTCATTGAAAATATTTTTGTGTAAGCTAAATAAGAATTTGTTGCCAATAAAACTGTTTTTCCCCCTCAAATAACTTCAATTTGTTATGTTCTACATGCCTGGTGTTTTATATTGTAACTGTGGAAATTCTTAGTTTGAGGATCTGAACTTTTTACATGTAGATTGATTTCAAAAATGTATAAATCATAGATGGTCGTTATACCCAATTTTGGAAAATATCCCCTGACTGATTGTCTGTTTTTTACTTTCTCTCCCTATACCATAGTATATGGAGAAAGTATTGTTTTCATCAAAATTTTTGAGTTTGAGTTTTGAGTGGATATATTTGTTTTCGAAGTGATGTCTGTGTGTGTGCATGTGTGTGTCTGTCTGTCTGGAAGTGTACAGAGCTATAGGGACTACACCTGTGTTCAGATTTCGATGAAATTTGGTATTTAGGTTCTAATCCATGGTATCTCCAGAAATTTTTTTCATTTTTGTGAAATTTGGATTTTTAATGGGGATTTTCCCATAAAACCCCACAAAAAACCAGAAAAATCAAATTTCCTCAAAGTGGCCCAAAAGATTTTGATAAAAATTTAGTATGTTGTAGCCCTATAAATTCTGAGCAAAATGGTACAAATCCTGATCCTGTAAAAATTACGGTTCAAAAGTTATTGTAAATTATGTTATTTCCCCATAAAAAAACCCATAAAATAACAAAAAAATGGATTTTCAGAGAAAAGCTAGTTTTGATCAAAATTATTATGTTATGGTCCTTATAATAAAAAAAAAATAGTACAACACCCCATTGCTGTAACAATTGCGGTGTTCAAAAGTTATTGCAACTTATGTATTTTTTAACTATAAAACAACATAATTACTCTCACCGCTTACCCATGATAAAGGTTGTTGACGAGCTTATGGGAGAAAGTATGTGTCAGATTGCTGATACCTTTTATTTATATTTAAGATAATTCTAGGAGATTTTTCCTGTTGAGGTAGAATTTTGTCCAGGTTTTTTTTGTGGTACCACCATTGAAAGCTATTCTATAAGCAATATGTGAATATAATAGAGCAAAGTAAATAATTTTGAAAATTTCAATGCTTGAGACACTTGGCATTTGTCGCAAAGCATGACGACCTGCTGAAGATGTTTTTACTAAATGTTCCACATGCTTATTTTAAGTTAAATACTGGTCTAATATTATACCAATGAATGCTTACCTTTACTTTAACACGTTAGCTGCCACGTCACCCCGATCGGGGTGCCACCTGTTGGCTCGTATGTGAGCACTGTCACCCCGATCGGGGCGACAGTTGTAATTTGTAAGGGTTTTTTTCTTTGCCGCTATTTGACAGTCTTTGATGTTCAATGGCAGTCAAACATTGTGGCTTATAAATACATACTCCAAGCTAACTAGATATCAATGTTATATTGCATTCTGATGTTTATAACATGCCCAAACATGCGTCACAAAGTACTGAAATGTTGTCACCCCGATCGGGGTGACGCTATTTTTTTTCAACAACTTTATCTACTCTTTATTGAAATATGTACCATAAAATTACGTAACGTTTATCTTATTCAGTTGGTGTTTATATTTTATACGGGGTTTTTGTATCTTATGACTGAAATTATGTCCTTAACCAAAACATAAAAGTAAGTATTTGGGTTATTTTGATGAAAAACAGATAAGAAAGAAAACAAACATATTTTTTAAATCTTTTATGTCAAACTGTAAACAATATTACATTGCTAAAAAAAACTAAATATATGTATAATAATGAATAAAAACATGACCATTGTTGCTGTGCTCGCTCTCTGACATTGACAGGAGGGTAGGTTGAAAGTCAGGGTCGATGTCCATTTCGTCGTCCCTGTCTGACTCATCACTGTCTTTAGCACTACCGCCCAAAAAACCATCACTTAGATCTCCAAAATCTAGTTCACTTGACATTGGTAAACCCAAAAAACGTTTGATATCTTCATCACCAAGATTGTCACTCATATTGGACAAAAGCCACAACACACTATGAAAACCAACACGAAAACTAGGCTATAAATAGCTAAAAAGTACAACACAAGAAGCAGTAAACAAAACACAGTCGAGTAATAACTAATAAGCAGGTGTTGTTGTCTTCACACGCCAAAATGCCGCTACTGCCAACCGAACAAAATGAAATACATCCCAAATGGTCGAATTTCAGTGTCACCCCGATCGGGGTGACAGTGATTTTTTCCAGCAAAGTTTGACTGAAAACAATCACTGTCACCCCGATCGGAATGACACTTTTTCCGCCATTTTCTTTTAGGTATTTGGACAGATAACATTATAACTAACCTAGATAAGTATAAATAACATCATATAACTAAAATATTACGTGAGCATATAGTTGACAATGCAACAATCCCCCCCAAAAATAGCCTTGGCAGCTAACGTGTTAAGACCAAAATTATGAAAATCGGTCTGGTAGAAGAGCCAACATTTTCCGACTCGGAAAAGAAAAACCAATATATTTTTATATATGGATAAGACATTTTGCATTTTGACAGTATGAATATTTGCAAGTTGGATATAGTATGTCGAATTTAAACACATTGTTTCCAAATGTTTAAATATGCTCTAAACTAATATATTCTTTATGAGTATGACTTTATATTTAGTAGGCCATGAAGAATTTCAAGTAATTTATCATGTGACACAGTATCAAAATCTTTAAAAAATCCAAAAATATTCCAATAACTTTTTCATTGTTGTTAATTGAGATGATAACTGATTCAATGAAGTTAAGGGTGCGCTATATCTGTCCACCGCGTTTTAATGCAAGTGTGTAGGATCTCTGTCATTGTCGGCTTAGTTCTTAATCTATTAAAAATAGGTCTTCAAAATATATAAACCAAAAACTAACAAAACAAAAAATCTCTGACGGCTTGATAGCAGCAATTTTAAAAGTGTGTCAAAACCAGTTGTCATTTAGACAACCAAGGATTACCTTGGAAGGTATTCAACTTCTTCTACAGTGAACTTTTTTGATGTATCAGTTGCGAGTGCTGCGGGATGGAACAGAGTCTTTCAAGAGATGGGAAAAACAACCACTTCCCTTCATAACCAATATCTACCTCTGGAACCTGACTAATCCAGAGGAAGTCAGCAGAGGCATGGCCAACCCGAAGCTGGTGGAGGTTGGACCTTATGTCTATGAGTAAGCAACTTTCTCAATACCAAAAAACAATCAAGATATTTTTATCTAGGAGTTTTTGTTTTGTTTCCTTTCTTAGCTCAAGAGCAGAGGAAAGAAACATCGACTTTATATGATATAAGTTAATTGAATGAGTCTCTTCGAGACTGCTAATGTCATATTCAATTTTCACCCTTAGTTTTACCGAACTTCCCATATTACCATAGGTCTCATGGTAAGACCTTGACCTGGGACCGATTTATATTTTGTTTTGATGTCCCCAGAGGCCAATAACACCATGCCAGCTAGGCCTGGCCCACCCAAAATTTTCAACCAAGATATTTCAAAATTATAAATAAATAAAGAAATTTAATTATATGTAAATAAAGGAAAGCATTTAAACTAATTATTTTTCATTGAAATTTTAAATTCCCTTTTTTGTGGGGAAAGCCCCTCAAACCTCTCATCCTCCGATCAATCCTTTTGATCATTATTGTCATGGCTGCACAAAAGATTATTCTTCGAGCCGCCGCTGATTCATATATGTGTTCGTTAGCATGATAGCCCAAGCAAAAATAATCCGATTTTGATGCTCTTTGGTACAAACGTGTAAGCCTACATTTATTCAAACGAGTTTGCGAACCAGCATGATCGCACCATGGGAACAGGGTTTTATGGGATAATAGGAGGTGTTTCCCATTTTTAACCCTCAAAACATAGAATTTCCCAATTTTTCTTTGAACCATTTTGTTGAGCTTGAAAACCAAATAATATTTTACTTTGAATTGTTTTTGTACTGTTATTGGCTACGGAGAATATAAAAAAGTACATAAAATTTCCAACAATTTAAGCATAGTTTCATATTTGTGTGTCAAATAGTTTTTGAGCAATGATTTTTCAAATATTACAAATTTAATGAAATGTATAACTAAATTTAAAAGTTCAAAAAGGTCAATATATAATAAATTATTTTTATCCACAAGCGCTTACAGAAACTATGTTTCCATCGTCAGGCTGTGTTTAAACTAATACAAAAAATTAAACACAGCCTGACGATGGAAACATAGTTTCTGAAAGCGCTTGTGGATTAAAATAATTTATTATATGTTGGCTTTTTTGAACTTTTAAATTTAGTTATACATTTCATTATTCATTGCCAATATCTCCAATATAAGTTATTACAAATTTGTTTAGGTCCCTAATTACCATAATTTACATTTTTCCTAGGTTTGACCCACAAAAATTGTTTAGTACCCATATTATGGCAGAATTCTTAAAAACTGCTTTTGTAGTAAATTTTATTAGCTTTTGTTTTATCACAAAGCTAAGTCTCTACCTCCAACACTTTTCTGAAAACTATAGCCTACAATAATAATAATTTATGAATATCATGATTTTTTCATTTAACGAGTTTAATTGTTTTTACAACATGTGTAAGTTATTAAGAGTAAGATAAAAAACATTTACTATATGCTTTAGCTAATTAAAAAAATATATAATTTAAATTTGTGTAAAAGAAACTTACTTACTTACTTGAAAAAACTTTAAGCTGCCTCTTCAAGATGCTTATGAACAGGCCCGTTGTTTGGAAAGTGCACAACAACAAGTTATGATATTGTTTATAGACCTGGTAAACCGAATGTAGCTGCTGACTCTATATCACGAGTGTGCTCGATGAGCGACAAAATGAACAGACTTCATCAATATCATGAAAGAATGTGTCATCCTGGTGAAACTCGTATGTATCATTGGATCAGAAGCAAAAATTTACCATACACCCTTGATGAGGTAAGAAGAATGACTGCTTCCTGTATGGTATGTTCTGAAGTAAAACCAAGATTCTTCAAACATGATGGAAAATTAATAAAAGCAACATCACGGTTCGAGCTTCTTAGCCTGGATTTTAAGGGTCCTCTCTTCCCTCTTCTACAAGAAATCGGTCTATGCTAAAAATCATTGATGAGTAGGTACTCACGATTTCCATTTGCGTACCCCTGTCCTGATATGTCCTCTTCGACTGTTATTTGCAAACTGAAACAATTATTTTCATTGTTCGGTACACCTAGCTACATTCACTCCACTCAGGGATCTTCTTTTCTTTAAAAAGAACTAAAAGAGTTTCTTACTCTAAACGACATTGCTTCTAGCCGGACTACTACTTACAACCCTCAGTGTAATGGCCAGGTTGAGAGGTATAATGGTATAATCTGGAGAACAGTAGAACTTACCCTTAAGAACTATCAACTTGACGTGACAAAGTGGGAATTAGTTCAGGATGAAGCTCTTCACTCTATCCGATCCTTGCTTTGTACTGCCACGAATTGTACGCCACATGAACGAATGTTGGACATCCCAGAAGATCACAAAATGGTGTTTCCATTCCAACCTGGTTGATGACTCCTGGAAAAGTGTTTATGAAACGTCCTATCAGAAACTCTAAGTATGAACCAATAGTGCAGGAGGTGACGTTGCTGGAAGGAAACTCTGATTACGCTCATGTACGATTGCCAGATGGGCCCATCTGGCGTGAGACAACAGTGTCTACATGTAACTTAGCTCCTTGTGGAAAACTAGCTGAGAGAACAGATTTTGATGATAATTCAACACCAGAGAATCACACAATAGGACTGAGTAAGGATGGAAACTTAGTAGACGAAACCCAAGATGTATATTCTCATCCCGATGCAGAAGTGATAGAAGAATCTACAACTCAAGATCCTCTAGTACAAACCTTAGGGACTGATGAAACCCAATTACAGAGATGAAGCTCAAGACAGAAGAGACTACCTTCTCATCTTAAAGACTTTAAATTATATTAGCGTGGAAGAATGTGATAGAAATTATTCCCAGCTGTTGTTGAACATTGTTATTTTATTTGCTTATGTTGAATGTTTGTAATCATTATTTCATTCTCTAGATTTAACTCTTACTTATGAATTCCATTACTTGAATTGTGTTAAATAAAGCCTACTCATTCAAGGCAAACAATCTTTATTCTTCAACATCACTCTAACAATTCCTCCTAGGAAGCGGAAGAAAAGTGCCCAATTGTTTTGTATGGTGGCAACACATGCCACGATGAATTAGAAAACCTTCGGTTCCACCTGTTTGTAAAGGCAGCAGCCAGTGCTAAGGTAAACTTATCACGCTTGCCCCCCACCCAAGATGCAGCTTCCTTCCACTAATTTAGAGCATACCACCAAGTGAAAAATGGTTAGGGATTGAAAAGGAGCCCACAGAGTGAGGTTGGTCAAATAGCACAGCAGGATTGGTTCCAGTGACAATAACATGCAGTCCAGCTCCATCCAACCTTCTGAAACTAATTTCATGTAGGTGCAAAAAGGGATGCACAGGTGCTTGCACATGTCGGGAGGCCGGGCTAAAGTGTTCACCATTATGTACTCCTTGCTCTGCTAAGAACTGCCAAAATGTCACATTACCATTTATTGAAGAGGATGAAGATGACCCTGACGATAATATCTCTTTATACCCAATGAGTTTGAATCAGGAAACATTTCTAATACCTTGCCTTCAGTGTCCAAAAAGCCAAAATACTAATTAAGAATGTTTTGTCATAATTTATCTTTAAATATAACTTTTAACAATAAATATGTTTTTCCCTTATTTCGTTTTATTCTATCACTTAATGGTTGGGGGACATTATTTCAACTCATTAAATAAAAAAAATCGTGATATTCATATATTATTATTTGTATAGTTTTCAGAAAAGTGTTGAAGGTACAGACTTTGCTTTGTGATAAAACAAAAGCCAATAAAGTTTACTACAAAAGCAGTTTTTAAGAATTCTGCCATATGCTAATATGGGTATTACACAATTTTTTAGGGTCCAAACCAGGAAAAATGTAAATTGGTAATTACTTAAAAAAAAAACTAATATTTGAAAAATCATTGCTCAAAAACTATTTGACACACATAAATGAAACTATATGCTTAAATTGTTGGAAATTTTATGTACTTTAATTATTACATTTGAGTAGTATTAAGAAAAATGCACTGTTAATAAGTTTTTGACCAAAACTAAAAAAAAATACATTAATTTTGTAATATTTTACTTATTACGCAGGGAGCACAGGGATCTCGAAGCTGCTAACTGGGTTTTGAGTTACCCTAACTGGTCCCAACAACATATCAAAAATACAGCAATACATCACGCTTTGTGATTTTACTGTCCAATTTGACTGGCCTATATTTAAATACCCATAAATGAGAGTAATGCGCTTTTGCTACTATGAAAATGACTTTTTAATATCAACTCCAATCTCTAGCACATGTGTACTGTATGGATTTTCTTTGACAACCAAACATAATCTTATAAGATTCACTAACAACCCTAATGCTGAAGGAAGATTATACAAGCCTCTCTGTAACTAAAAAAGTAAATTAGTCCAATGTCTAGCTCTTTAAATGAGACCAAAGGTCGCTCGCTTGTTCTCCATGAGAATGTAGTAAAACAAAAAAACCACTTGTTTTTACTCCTGTAAGTGTTTTAGATTCTTAAGTTCAGCCTATCATGCCGCATGGTTTGACAGTATTAACTCTAAATGACAATCTCTCAATCTAACCGTCATATCCTATGCAATGATATACGGAAGATTCAGTAGTCTACACATAATATTAATTGTATTTTTCAGACAGATCACTTTAAAAAGACCATTAGAGTTGAGAGAAGATTCTATAGTGTACATGAAGACCTTGATGTACCACTATCGTGCAGATCTTACGGCCCCTCGTTCACTAGATGACATAGTCATAACACTGCAAGCAGCTCTTTACGTAAGTTCCTCAAACACACATATTACATAAATAAATGTTAAATCTAATTGTTTTGAATTGATAATTTAATCCTAAAGTACGTTGAGCATGGTTAGATTTAATACTTTTTCGTCATACTGCAGCAAAAACAGCCATTTTTAACACATGCACTGTGGGTCTAAGGTAGGTCTTTTACTCCTTAAAATGATTTTTAGTCAGCTTTTTTAAATACAAAAGTAAACTAGGTATCGCTCGTTTTAATTGGTTGTATGGCTCGGTTGTCGATTTACGACTTCCAGCTTGTTTCCAAATATGCTAAAATAAGCAGCAGTTTAGTAAAGTGATTCGATAATTTTGCTATTACGATTGTGTTACTATATATACCATCGATATGTTGAACTATTGCTACATTAGTGCCAAATTGGTTGTCTAGTAGTTTACTTGAAGATAAGCAATTTGAATTTTGTGCCTTTAAGCTATATAATTAATGGATTTAAAATTTTGGCAATTGGAGTATATAGGTCATCATCTAGCTCAGGTTGTGATATATTTTTAGATATATTGAGTGGCCTATGTTAATTGACCATTAAAAAAAATGTTAACATAATTTTAGGAGGGGATATAAACATTGATGTTCTAAAAAAATAACCCTAATCATAGTTTACTAAAAATAACACTAACGCGGTATTAAAAAAAGAACAAAAAAACAATATTAAAAAAAACATTAAAGCAATATTAAAAAACAACAACACTGACCTACCGTCATGCCAGCGTCAGTTCAGGTAGCGTAGTTCGGGCCGCTGACGATCCTCTACAGCAGCGCTGTTCAGGTGACAGTAGCACCTATTGAGTGTCTACTCTAGTACGTGTAGGCTATATATATATAAGCCCATATCTATTGATGTTATAAGTAGGCACAGTAAAATATACACTTCAAGTGCAAAGCAGACTTCGGATTCTTGCTCAATAAAATTTGTAAAGAGTTAAGATTTCTTTATTTTTTACTACTTTCAACTAATCAACACTCTTCTTTATTATTTCTTTTAATGAATCTATATATACTGTATGTAATGAAACTTTGGTTTTAATTTAATTTCTTCCTAAAATTCTTGATTATAGCATAGATAAAACATACTAGATTATAGCTTCATTACAATTAATTTTGAAAAATAGGTTTTATGATTGGAAATAATATACTTCAAATTCTTCACCATCATTCTTTAATTTAAATTGCTTTTGGTTACCAACAATCATGTGCTCTAAAAACAAACAAATTCGAATAGCTTTAAAATATAGTCAAAGTTTAAACATGTTCTTTTAACAGACCTACTAGATGAACTAAATGTTTTAATGAAATTGATTTACATACCAGTTTTCCTGGGATAAATCTCACTAAAATATATTAACAACTTTAACTTTTCTTAACATCACTGTACAACACATTCTGACTTAAAGAGGGATCTAACATGCAAACCTAGTCCTTTATACTGGTCTGACTGCTTAACCTGATTGGTGGAATTGGACCAATCAGATTAGCTCTTAGTTCATCTTTACAAGATTCATTAAACAGCTCTAATGTGTCTTAGTTACTTCCTGCATAATTCTTTTCTTGTTTCAAACATTTTAAGAAAATCCTTCGACATAATTATTAATCAAAAAGCACAATTTGTTTGTTTTTATACTAATAATAACAAAATAATAAAATTTCATTTGTTTTTGAATTCAAATTGAATCAAATTATATTTTTTGGTTGAGTAATACAGCAGATAAATATATGCCGTTGCTTGATGGCAAATCTGTGCGTACATACCTTCAATTTGAGACCAATGTGTTTTTGAACAGTATTAATTTGTGCAACTTTTGCCGAAGACCGAATTCCCTTATGTCCTAAAATGTCCCTAAATATGTTTCTAGACTTACAATTACTTGTGGCAATAAACTGTATAACTTTTAAAACTTAAAAAAACTATAATCGTGACTTAACTTCACATATCCCTGATGCTTTTGTCATTAAATAAATTTTAATCGGGTTTAAAGGAATTTTTTTGTAAGTATAAAGTAGTATCCATTTAGTAAATAAGAAACTTTAGACCTCTGTATTTTAAGAGGCTTAATAATAATAATTTACTAAAAAAATACAAAGTCAGGCACTTTTCTTGTTTTAATAATGGTACAACGGGGTTTTATTGACAAAAAACTACATCAAATCAGCTTCGTACTTTTATAACGAGTACAATGGTGGAAACCGCATTTAAATCAAATAAGTATCAACAAAGATACAACAGTTTATATCAATGAAAACACATTCTCCCCATATAAAGTGTATGGCAGCGGTGGGGCGGTTTATACATTAGGTGGTGGGGGGAGCGCCGGACCGATACGTGTGTATCTTAGAGCAGTACAGCACGCAATCCAGTTGTAATAATAGAGATTGATGGTTACTGCTCCCCCCTCCCCCAATGAATTTGCTGGAAATCCATCCCACCGTTCCTGAAGGAGACATAGTTGTACTCCTGAGTGGTTAACTGCTCTATCAGCTGGAGATTGTTGCCACGTATGGCTTGGAGAACAGCGATGTCCAAAGAAAAGTTGTACCAAAAACCACTATGAATTTTAATGACACCAGCCGCCGCAATAGTCTAAAAATTAAGATCTTAGATTAACTCATCAATTGACATCTTTTCATTTTAAGGGTGCTGCAGTGATGGTGCATAACATGGCTCCCTCAATGATGGGCATGGTTGAGAAAGCTGTTCCTTCGCTGTTCCCAGGGATAAACTCTATATTTGTCCCTGTGAGGGTTGGAGACTACCTGTTTGATGGAGTGGTTCTCAACTGTTCCAACAAAGCCTCAGTTTATGCTCAGATGGTCTGTAGAGCTTTGCCAAACAATGCTCCTCAAACAATACGGAAACTGCCAAACTCTTCTGACTACGCATACTCATTTCTACACCATGTGAGTCCATATAAGTTCTAAGTTTGCATTAGACTAATGTATGTACATACAAGGCTGAATATAAGCATAGGCCACATAGGCATGCACCTGGAGGCCCTCGCCACAGAGGGGCATGCAACGCAATTCAAATTTACAAAATAATATCACTGGTCATGTTTCAGTATCATAGAATGAGAATAAGTAGATTATTAAAATATCATAAATATAACATAAATTTGAAAGTTTAGTGTGTTTGTTTGTTTGATTATTTGAAGTTCGATTACGCAACTACTGGTCGAATTGGGCTGAATTTTGGCATGATGGTAGCTCACATACCCGATTAACATATATATTTTAATCTAGAAAATCCTTTTGGGCTCTACCCCAGTGGCTCTTGAGTTTCCCATGTTAACCTTATGAGTATTTGTATTTAAAAGGAATTAAAGAATTCTGTCAGCTGTTCTTACTAAACAAGTTAGTTCTATGATATTTAATAACATAAAAATCTTATAAGGTTTACCAACAGGGTGCAGCACTAAACAATTTTTGCAATTATTTACAACAGCTAATTAGAACAGTTTGAACTAAGCAGCAACAAAAGTCCAAGTTAAACATGTATGCAAGCCAGCTCAAGTCAAATCATTCGCAACTCGTACCAAGGATTTGTTGTACTATATCTGATGACTTAATACTGACTTATAATATAAATATAAATAAATAGGAGGTTAAAAATCTTAAAAATGTTATTGTTCTTATTTTTAACCCGATAACACGGCATTTCACAAACTCGGCACCCTTTCAGTTCACATTACGCTGAGTTTGAAGTACTCTACTGTAATTAATAAAAGCACGCATGTTAACTTAACACAAATTATAATTTATGAACAGAAACAATAGAAACAAACAATAGAAAAACATATGATCGTAAAAATAGTTTTATATGAAATATTGTAAAGTCTTAGAGAAGTCATAACAGCCAAACCCCCCCCCCCCCCCCCCGTCTATTTTAAACTTGCAGTGAAATCATGAAAGCACAAAGTCCTTGTAACAGCACAACATTTGCCTTTGTCACTTTGTTCTCTCTTGATACACAGGAACTTCGGCATTGTTTGTTTCTGTTTCCTGAACTGCAGGAACCTCTGAATAATTGTTTGCTTCGAGAATTGACAGTATACCAGGATTAGCTAATAGATTATAAAGGAGTAACAGATACTGTTTCTTTGTTGCTGTGTTTAGAAGCTCGTGGAACATCAAATGTGTAGGTTGGTCCAGCCCTAACAACTTTTGGTTTTGGTATCAAAGTAGACCGCAATTAATTGATCAATGTGCCCTTTGAAAACTAGATAATGCCCAACTGTTTTTTTACTTCTCTAAAACAGCATTTCTTCATTAAGCCTTTTGTACATTAGGAAAAATCGCATCTCACATCCATTCGTATTCTTGACTTCCTGTGGGGGTAAAGTTCAGCTGGTGATTTGCACATGCGAGAGGAGTTGCCCAGTACCGCATTAAGATCTTCTGGACCTTTATTGCCATTGGTATGTTTTCTAAAGCTGTGGACTTCAGGTGGTTCTTCTTCTTCAATGTTTGAACAGAGCGTTTTGCTAAGCCGTTTGTGGCTGGGTGTCCTGGAGATTTAAGAGCCAAACAAACTCGGAAAAGAAAAACCAAATTTATTTAATATATAAGATGTATGGTATTGGAGCTGGATGGTGCAACTAAACAATATAAACACATATGATAGTAACAATAGTAGAGAAGTCATAACAATCATAAGTTCAGTTTTGTAGTTTTAAATTTTCAAGTGTGGTAAAGATCCCCATCGTCTCATAACTGAATAACAATCACAGAAGGTGATCAGGCTTTCATCATAATTCACGACCTTTGAAGAAGTTCACACGATTTTACCACAATCTTGGGAGATTTAAAATTCATCCACAATCGCACGAGACGTATAACTGACTTTAATGATATTCATTTTAAATCACCATTTTGCATTTGCACATTTTCCTAAGGGACGGCCCAGGGACCCCGCATTCATTCGGGGGAGGGGGGAGGGGGGATGCCCTCCAAACTGCGAGTCCAGTACTTTGACCACAGATGGAGTCAAGGGATCTGTATTTTCTAAATTCTCTCTTGCGCATATCAATCATCTATGAATAACTTTGGGTTGAATGTAAAAATATCTTTCACCTCTTCTATAATTGATTTGAGTTTGTTATTCATGGCCAAAGTAATTCCATTGACTATTACAGTAATTAGCCTTTTAGTACGTTGTTTACATGGCCATATCTGGGTAAAAACTGGACTTTTTGATTAGAATGTGGCACTTTCTGTGGTCATAGCTGATTCCAAAAGTTTATAATTATAATTATAACTATAATTTTTGGGGACATCGGTTTAACCGGAAAAACCGTTATCCGGACTGGCCTCGGTCCCGAGGAGTCCGGATAGGAGGGAGTCTACTGTACTCTATATTTATGAATTGGTAGAGGTCGTACGGAACGAGGTGAAGCTTGGAGGGGAATAGTGGTGTGGCGGGGGAAGTGTCGCTATTCAAGGCGACGATCGGCTCGTCTCCTACCCCCACCATGGATTTCCCCGCTTTAGACCGTTCCTGCCAAAAATCTCAGGCTTCACCTCGTTCCGCACGACCTCTAGGATGGTGTTTTTGGCCTCTAGGGACCTCAAAACTAAAAAGTAAATCCGTCCCGGGTCCAGCAGGTATTACCATGAGTACTACCGTAATAACTTATTCCATATGTGGGAAATTGGCTAAATACTACCAAAGATTGTGTTACCATGGACATTTTGTGAAACTTCAAATGTCAATAAAATAAAAAAAAATAAAAAAGTTTTGAAAAAAAATTTAGTTTTATAAAGTGCTTTTCTTGAAAACATATGTTTTTAAATTTTCACTCATATACTGATCTAACTTTTTGAACAAAGAAAGATTAAAGAACACAAAGAGATTTTCAACGACAATCACGTCTTTTGTATTAAAGATTGCTGCCAGACGTTTTGCATTCACTTTAAAGAATTAACCAATAGAGAGTTAGCCACTGAAGTTGCCTTTTTGTCTGGAAGAGAGCAAAACCTCCCTCCAGCAGTAATCTTCAGCTGACAACATAGTTAAACAAAGCTGGAATCATCAATGGATTCTGATGACAACCAAAGAATTGAGGCTAAAGTATGATCAAATTTAATTAATAATATTAATAAAGGTGTCAAACTTTTTAAATCTTTAAACTAGCACTTTTGCATCTGGTAATTTGCATACTATCTTTTTTATCTTTTACAGAAAAATGCTACAGAGATGGGGCCTTATGAAGAGATCAGGGGAGTGGAAGATATTCGCCAGATTGCTCAACTTGTCAAACTGAAGAACCAGTCCCTACTAAACATATGGCAACCTAACTCTCAGTGTGATCGACTGAGGGGGACGGACACCTTGAACTTTGCCCCTTTTGTATCAAAAGCTGACAAGATCGAAATCTACATTCCCGACATTTGCCAGTAAAGTTATATTGCAGTATATACTCAAGTCTTATCCACCTATTAAACTTAACTTTAACTGCTTGTTAGGGGTTATATAACTAAAAATGTAGTTAAGTTATGTCTCATTGCACTATGAAACCAAAACCTTAGATGTTGTCAATGCATTTTCACACCTGTTTCAAAATTACATTAATTTTCTTCCAATAATTAATTGGAGCTTCTGTAATAAACATATGTAAACAGCTATTTTTATTGAAGAATTTTGAGAACAGTTGTTTAAAAAGATCTCTTTGATGTAATTAAATTCCAATATTATAGAATAAATAGGTGGATAAGAGCAAGGCCCCACTAGAAAAACAGCCCATGCTGCAGCGCGGGCAGCACAACACTACGTCACAGTGGTGGATATTGTACTAAAATCTTACCATTTACAATCTGACAAACAGCCAGTTTATTTACCTAAAACATATGGGATATTGCAAAATAGCAGTGAATTTATCAATTTATCTATCCACTAACGTGACGTCAATAAGAGACTGATCATCAATGTTCAACATTTGAACTAAACCAAAAACAGGAAACAAAAAATACTGGTATATGATATGCCAATCTATAAATAAAATTAGTTTTGTCTGTATATTGCTTAGAATCATGCAGTTTTTGGTTATTTTTACGTTTCATAGCCTAAGAAAGCCGAAACGAGTCTTATCTCAATTTCTGTCTGTCTGTCTGTTTGTCTGTTTGTCCATTATGTCATTCCGTCTGTGACGCCAAAATGTCATTTTATGCGGACTACTCCTAGAAAACTAGAGTACCGATCAAGGTTCTAATCATTTTTCTGTATAAATGGATTGGTGAGAGTGTCTTTGGCTATAAAAACATGGCCTCGCTTCTTTGAAAACAAAATAACGGACCATCAAAAACCCAATTTTGATAGATTTTTGTCAAATTTTCTACCAATGTTAACTATTACATTTTATGAAATAACGATCAGCTGTTTGGATTAGTTCTCTCTTCTAGCTGTCACTGATATGTGTTTACAAATACCGCAACCATTTCTGATCAAGTTTTAGCACATGAAAACCAAGTGAGATTAAAAACGTACTTAACCGATTTAATCAATCGCAAGCGCAACGATTGTTATTGAGTTTTTATAACTGGGGAAAAGACCGTGAATCAGTGGTGTATAGTAATGGTAAACTTACATTTTTTAAATAATCGTCACCACTCATTGACGGCGTTTCAAGGACAGTTGTGTAAACTGCAAAGTAAAAAATCACAACTGCAGCAGGTGATCATGGATGTTGCTGCGATCTTGGAAGATCTTTATGAATTGGCTGTGATCGTAACAGAGGTGTTTAACTTACAGATGTAGCTATACTTGCTTTTCCAATGTATCACTTTTGGTTTCTACTTACTAACATTTCGACAACGATATCAGTACTTTTCCTAAGGAAGTAAAACTACAAAGGTCCAAAACCCCAGATTTGTGCGTTTTTTGTCACATTTTCTCCGAGTGTTGCTAGATATATGTACCAATTATCGTTTAGAGATTACGTAATCTTTTAAATAAGAAATCTTTGTTTGGATAAAGGTGGTTTCCTCAAACTGTTATTAATATTTTAACATTAAAAGTTGCTTACAAATAATGCTATTAATGGAAAATAACTTTGATTTTCAAAAACTTACTTCCGTACTACACCACATCAAGTGAAAGTTTTTTTTTTAGCAAACCATGGTGAGTTTTTAAAGCTTTACGTTGTTAACGTTACATGTTACATGTTTTGTGGCCTGTGTATTTATTTATTTATATATTTGCCAACGGATTAACAGCTATAAGGCCGGGCGTATGCTGAGACGCACGCGACGCAACGCATTCAACGCAGCACAAGGCAGAAAACTGTGCCGTCATGTTATCTTACGACTAAGCTGAGACGCACGCGTGTATGTGTCTGACACATGCGTGGGCCGGCATTTCACAGTTTTTGACGCATGCGACACAGCTTGGGTACAAGCACAAAACACAATATAGACGAACCAATTCCTCAATTTCCTTGTCGGACTCGGAGTAGTAGGTACTTTCAGCCATCTTGACAACTAACCAGCTGTGATCTCTGCAACTAAATGTGTGTGCTGCGTGGCATGTCTCAGTTTGTAGTAAAGACACAGATTTTCAGACACACTCAACACAACTCGTGTGAAAGATGACAAAAAACAAATGAGCGTCGATTGAGTTCCAATGTGAATTATCTGTGGTGTATGAAGTAAACCATGCAGTTATGAAACGTCATGATAGGACTATCGGAACGGAGCTTTATAATTTAAAAATATAGTTATTTCCATTTTTGAATCCACGTAACACATTGCACTTGTTCTTAAACTCCTGTTTAGAGCTGAAAATCCAAATCAAAGGTTCATAAGCTAAACTTAAGTAACTACGGAAAAAATAAAGGAAAAAATACTCCGGCCGAAGCAAACCTGTAAACTGAGCAAATTTCCGTTTACTTAATTGGATATTATTCACTAAATCATATCCTTAAACAGGATAGATTCATTCCCTATTTAAATAACATAAGGTATAAAGAGTACCTAACCTATAGGTTTGCTCTAGAGGGAAGGTAATAAAGTGTTTTTCCCTCATAGCTTAGTATAAAATGAAAAAATGAAAATATTAGCTTAAATAAGAAAATGAGGTTTAGTGGTGGCGGATCCCCTTAAGGTTTTTAAATCTCTGTGATATCTCCAATACCAAACATACAGTTACAGTTATAGAATGAAATATGAAAAAGTCTGGTGCTCAGCTTGTGGTAGATTTGTTTCATAACAAGCTTTGCAGGAGGTGTGGGATTTAGAATTTCACAGTACTCAACCGTCTCAATATCAATATATTTATGTGCTTGCATTCAACATGACTAAGCATACTGAAAAAAACTATTATTTGAGCATGTCAGATTTCCTTTGATACATCATCATAAAGTGTAATGTTTTGAAACTCAGATTTTTATATAGATTCAGCCTGTTCAATGACAAATCATTACCGATATTTTTCCATTTTCCAGAGTGTTGCCAATTTACTATCAAGAAGAATCCGTTACTCATGGAATAGAAGTGTACAAATTCTCAGTGACAGATTGGCTGGACAGCAAAGATGAAAATCCTGACAATGAATGTTACTGTATGGAAGAAAACGAGAGGTATTGCTTCAAGAATGGCGTTAGGGACATAAGTCAATGCATGAGTAAGTTAAATATCGTAGCTGTTCAAAATTATACTTTGGTTAACAAAATAAAATGTTCACAAAAGTAATTAGTGCAAAAAGAAAGTCAGTTGTGAAGTACGTGTTATGAAACAGATTTGAAGTTATCAGGAAGTAAAGTTTGTTGTTAGTTTTTTTACAACCTATTTAAAACGCCTATCTTACTAGTCTGACAAAATTAATACAAAACACTGCCCATATCCTTTATGTCATCATTTTCTATTTAATAATGAAAATGTTTGCATTTGCTCATGCAAAGCATAAGCTCGATGTACATTTCACCACAAGTGTGGCATCTTCAGGTGCTGATTTGAGTTTCTTACATTCTTTTGTCTTTCTATAGGTTTTAATGGTATGTGGAATGTGGTACCAAGAGAATGGAATCTATGTATTTTATGAAAAGAATTATATGACTTAAATTTGGTTTTTCTTTTTCAAGTTCTATTGGCTCTTCTACCCGACCGATTTTCAAGATTTAGGTCTCAAATTGAAGGTATGCACACACAGATTTCACATCAAGCATCGGCAAATATGTAGCTACAGTCACAATCGGCTTATACGTAAACGAGTTATCTATATTAATTTGAAACTGATTTTCTTTGTGACAGCTAATTTGAGAGAACGGCTGGGCGTAGAAACTCGGTAGAGGTGTCTAAAGAAAGGTCTTGGTCTGTAGATGAGCCATCAAAAAAGAAACGTGGTAAATTCCCTTGAGGCTCTGCCCCAGTGGCCTTTGAATTCCCATCCCATGTTATTCTTATGGAGGAAAAACGGGGTTTTTGTCACAGCTAATTACAGAGAACGGCTGGGCGTAGAAACTTGGTAGGGGTGTCCTAAGAATGATCTTGGTCTGTAGATGAGCCATCAAAAGAGAAACTAGGTAAATTCCCTTGGAGCTCCGCCCCAGAGGCTTTTAAAGTTCCCTCAGCTGATTTGTTTACAATTTTGGCCATATGGATAATTTTACACTATACTTTTAATGAGCCAGCTGTTATGAGCATTTACTTAATTCGCAAAATTAAATGTTTACATTATTAATTATGATTTTAAAATTGATTTTCCACTGCATGGCAAGTTTTTTATAGTTTGAATAAAATGATGAATCTTTATAATAGGTACGTTTTATTTTTAATTTTTTTTTTTCAAAAATCTATGTTTTAATGCACTTATAAAATGTTGTATTATGAAATCACTGGGACATATCAATTTCAAAGGAACAGATAATTATTCCTTATTGGATTAGCTTATATTTATTGTAGGGGTTGGTGCTTGCCTTTTTTGGTCTACTTTCAATAACCATTTATCATTACATTCAAGAAAGAACATCAGAGGTTTGTGAGATTATTAGCATAAAAGTTTTCAATAATCAGGTAGAAAATTGTGTCAAAAGCCATGCAAGTGTAGATGAGTACGTTGAGGATGTGAGCTGTGTTCAAGTTTTTACCACGGAGTATGTTTAATCTATGGTTTTGGTGAAGTAGGTGAATTGAAGGCAATTCAGGTATTAATTAAATAAAACAGTGCCATCACATCTCATCTCTTTTGCATAATTTGTTGCCAACAAAGCCGAACTAGGTTATGGATGTGGTTCCGCAAATGTTCAAGATTTGTGTCCAAACTTCATGGCACAATTTCACAAAACTACGCCAGAAGTTAATCAATTAGCGAATAAGTACATTTAGATTAAATACATTGGTCAATGTGGCAAGAGAAGGAATCAAAATTGTTTGGACCTCCATCGAAGTAAGAATGTTACTGCTTTTTGGAGAATCAGATATTTTCATCAAATAAAAAAAAACAGATTTAATATGCCTCCCGCGGATAAAATTCCATATTTTTATGACCAAACATGGTGATTCACTTATACAATCCAAATACAATCTGAATGATTTTCCTAAAGCAGATGGAACCAGTTATTTTAGTAATATTGACTCTTTCCGTCAGATGACAGACCAATTATGTGAACTTCTTTCCCCATATAGTGAAAGAGGTGTTAACATGAACTAAAGTCATGAACAAGAATCAATTGTAAGACCCCTGAAAAGCCTTTTGGGTAACCTAAAGGCGATGAAAGGACGGAAAATATTGATTCCAACGAATTCATTAACCGCGTTTTTTAAGGTACACAATCCTCTTACTGATAATTATGTTCATCCTCCCTTCATTTTACTAAGATTTTAATAACTTCACTCTATCCATCGCAGTTAGCTGAATTTACCTAAAAACTCAAGAGTAACCGTTGATTTTGACGGGATTCACCTAGTTTATAAAAGTATTGTAATCTGAACACCGAATCTATATAATTAATACGCTACATGAAACTTTGTCAGTTGAACTCCTCCGCCATTTCTTAACCGATTTTATCCATTGACATTTGTATCATTTGCAAACTGGCCTTACATTTTTGAAAAAGTCGCTTGGGCTCTGCCCCAGTGGCTTTGAAAGTTCCCATGTTATCCTTATCAAGAACATAATTGTTTACATTTTGATCAGCTGTATAATTTAATTACTGTTATTTATTTTTCCTACAGTTACCTAAAAATGTACATGTTCTCTCACTGATTTGAGAAAGCAAAGTGGCCAATTCGCTCATCAGTGAGACAATTTTAACATTGTCTCACTCTAATTACTTTGTCTCACTCCAGATTTGCAACGTGAAGGCACGAAATAGTGAGCGCGTAACATGCAGGCAACGTCGTATGCACGCGAAATACGTTGGCAGCACTGGCTGTAAATCAGCTGGTCAGCTGTTATACTGTTGTATTTGTCACTTCACATTAAATGTTATATTAAAAGTTCACTTCTGTGTAAAAATAGGTTATGTTTCTTCACAAATTTATTTGTTTTATGGTAACTGTAGGAAAAGTATAATGTGCAACTCGAGTTCAAAGTACAATTGCCTCACTCGAGAAACCATTCCCGCACTTATAAGTAAGGAGTAAGGATTTCTCTCGACTGAGTCAATTGCTCACTTTTCTCACTAGTTGCACAAATAACTATTTCGATTCAAAGTCTTTTCAACTCTTCGGAAATTATGATGACTCTTATTTGTTTTTAAATAAGTACTTTACTCCTTTGCAATTGCTCGATTTCGAGCAACGTGTTTACTAGTGTCTTATGGTTAGGACACTGCCAGTTTGGATAATGTTCTGCATACAATCTCGTCGCTCCTCTTGCACTGCCATAAGTAATTTCAAAATGCCCCCGCCGCAGGAAACCTGCAGACTGAGCGAATTTCTATTTATGGATTTCTACTAAAATATTCCCAAAAAATTTGTCAGATTTAATTTCTTATTTAAATAACATCAATTTTTACATTAATTTTAGTGAGTACTTAGGTTTGCTGCAACCGGGAAGATATCAAGGCGTGTTTTATATTGCAATGTTGATAGCTTAGTATGAAATGAACAAAATTTCCAAATTTGGATAAAATATATTACTAAACAAGCAAACTACATCAGTTTATTTATTCTCCATAAGAATAACATAGAAATTTTAAATTTAGAACTTTTTAAATTATCTCCGTAACCATTGGGCATAAAAAACGCTTCAATATACAAAATTGTTTCTTTTATTAAGCTCTACAAAATGGTTTGGAGAGAAATTATGATTTTTTTGTGTTTTTAGGGTCAAAAAAAAAGAAAATCCATTTTTAACCCCATAATATTTTTAAAATATTATAAAATATTATAAATATTATAAAATATTGGGGACGGGGGGTCCCCAAAGTCCGATTATGCTGGTTCGCTAACTCATTGAATGAATGTATGTTTACACGTTTGAACAAAGTTTCATCATTTTTTGCTGGATGTTTATTTGGATTTGAAATGTTTTAGGGCACCATTTTGTTATTAGTGGGCCGATTTTGGTTTTCTTTATGTCAATTGTTATGTTTTATTAAGACCTGTAAAATGATACCAAACTCGACTATACTTGTCGTTTGAAAATGTTGAGCTACCCCCTAAGGGCAAAATTTTCAAAATCGACCATAACTATTGTAGCCTCTCATAGCTAAGAAGTTTGCCACAAACAGATTTCAAATATCTCAAATGGTTGAAAAGTTAAGGGGGGGTGTAAGTTACTTTTCAGCCACCCAGTATAACAGATGATTATAAAGATATTTAGACAATGCAAAAGGAGTATTAGCATTGTTTAAATGGAGAAAAGCGGTCATGCATAACAAAAGAACACATTTTTCTGTTATTATTGATCTATTCTTCACAAATAAATAAGGTATCATTGAAAACGGCATTAAACTTAAAAAACTTTTTTGTCACTTGCAATTTTTTGGAAAAATTCACGGTTTTTGTGAAATTTGGCATCAAGTATTTTAAATGGCCACCATTTTTAAACAGTTTATGATCGTTTTTTATTATAATTTCAAATGGAAATAAGGCTTAACACGATTATTAATACCACTATAGTAAAAAATAGTTTAGCAAACCAAAAATCAGTTGTAACCTGTTAAATTGTTAAACTGTTTTTGTTGAACTCTCAATACCAAAAATCAATACTAAATAAATCAAAATACTTAATTGTTTTTCAAGCTAAATTGGAAGGTGCAATGAAATAAAATAGAAAAATTTTACTATATTACAAATATTTAAATACCCCCGGAACAGCAAACCTGCAGACTAAGCGAATTTCCACTCGCTTACATTTTTACATTACATTTTTTCTCAAATATTTCCATGAATAAGACATATTTATTCCCCATTTAAATAACATTAGATTTAATTAATTTAATTTTTGTTGATATGATATTTTAATTGCTACGTTAACCTAGAAATCCACTTTGCCTCCTCAAACATGAGGTGTAAGGCTGCCACCATAACAGAGCCAAATAATACGTGATTTCACGACCAGGGCATCATGACCATCACAGATTTTTTCACGACCAAATTAGCTTTATGAATTGTACTGTGTTATGGTCGTGAAAATAAATGTTAAACTTTGTAAATTGCACAGTTTAGTTTAATTGCAACACAAACTGTTCTTATAACAGTATAATTAGGCCTAATTGAAGAATTAAAAAAATTAGATTTTTAACTATTTTTACATAGACAGGTATCTTTATTGCCTCATATAAGTTAAAGCTTATGTATAGGAGTTATGTGTAAAACTATTACATTTTAAAAATTAACTATGGTTTATCAAGTCTTGTGGAATATTATAGTAATAAGAGTAGTGGAAGGAAACCCTAAATAAACAATATAGTGATTCTCGTTAATCACCAACTCCAGACCGTAACACTTGTCCCTGACCACAATGTTGATGATTTTGGATCAAAAAAAATTCAAAAATTGATACCGGTATATCATCATATTCCAATGTTTTATGCACACAATAAGGACGCCTCTTTAAAAAACATAGAGGTTTTTCATATATCGGGAAGGTTTGTTCGGAGCTATACAAACTTAAAAAGATTTTTATCAGCTTTCTTTTAGATTTTTTTAGTTTTAGATTTTTTTAAGAAATACCAAATATACCAACAGCTTAGTGAGCTGTTTATTGCAAAATAGCCCTAAAACTAAATCTATTTACAGCAAAACATATTTATAAAAATTCCATTAACTATTTTTAATATTCATTTTTACATTCGTTATGGTTGTGACAAAATTTTGTGTTTTTCCGATTTGCTGTATTAATAAAAAACCACCAAAGGTATTGCGTTACCATAGACATTTTATAAAACTTCAAATGGCAATGAAATAAAAAAAATAAAAAAAGTTCTGAAAAAGAGAAAAAATTATTGTAACGTGCTTTTCTTGAAAACGTACGTTTTTAAATTTTCACTCATTGGTTGATTATTGATATCCATCAGATTAAAGGTCTTTACAGTGCTGTAAATTTGAGCTCAAAATAACAGCTGGGTAAAAAATGGCAGATTTGAGAAATATTTGAACGGATGCCATTTTTGACTCTGTTGTCCGTTTGAGTTAGAGTTTGTAGCAATGTATTTTACTAAATAAAACCTCTAATTTGATACCAAACTCGACCTATGCTGCTATAAACCTATTAAGTATAAATTAGTTGGCCTAATGAACAATAATGGCCAAAGGACACATCTAGAGAATACGAGCTTAACTTGATACCCACCCAATGTCCTAATATGTCTATAAAATTAATAGGTTGATTTGCTAGATATAAAAATCCAACAAATTCTTTTAATAAAATACATGGATTCCATTCTCTTGGTCCTACATTCCACATACCATTAAAACTTAGTAAGACAAAAGAATGTAAATTTTAAGGTAGGTAGAAGCGCTTTCTAAATTTCAAAATGTATTTTCCAATCTTTCATAAAAAAATAACCCAATCCAAATATCAACAGTAACAGTATAAATAGACCATTTTAATTTATTTGGTTGCCTGGCACATTAGAGAATGTCCATAGCTTATAAGACTGTTTTGGTATGTGTTGGCATTTAAAGAATTTGAAAATACACTTTGAAAAGCACTCTAAAGATTAAAATACAGATTATATGTGTATTCAAGTCAAGTCAAGTCAAATAAATCTTTATTCAAACATACAACAATATGTACATGAATGCGTCTTAATCTTAAACTATAACTAATACTAAAACCATTTTCCTGATCCATTTGATTTTTTTTACATATTTACATGTTTATTTACATATTTGAACATAGTGTAGTAAATTCTTCAAAATTATAAAACTCTCCACTAATTAGAAAATTCTTAAGCCTTTTTTTGAACTTATTTCCGTTTTCCTCATTTCTGATGCTACAAGGGAGGGAATGAAAAAATTTAACCCCAATATAATCAGGGCTTTCTTTAAATTTTTCTTTTTTATGCTTTTTAATTATAAAATTTTGTTTGTGTCTAGTATTGTAAGTATGTACATCTTGCTGTCTTTGCAGTTGCGACTCCCGGCTTTTAACATATAATATAGTCTTATATATGTAGAGGCTGTAAACTGTAAAGAATTCTAATTCTTTGAAACGATTTTTACATGATTCATTTTCATTTAAATTAAGGATGCACCTTATGGCCTCTTTTTGTAAATGTAAAATTTCATTTAAGTTATATTTATTCGTTCCACCATAAATTTCAATGCCATAAGCAATATGGGAGTGTATATTTGAATAATAAACCACACGCAAAATTTCTTTACTGCAAAGGGGATATAGTCGTCTTAAAGTAAAAATACCGGAGCTAATTTTATTACATATTTTATTGACATGTGAGGTCCACTTTAGTGTACTGTCCAAGGTTAGACCTAAAAATGTGGTTTCACATGCAAAATTTTCAAATATCTTTTCGCCAGACTTTTTACATTCAAATTTGATAAAGGTTGTTTTGTTTTCATTAAGTAAAAGGTTTTTTTCATTTAGGTAATCTCCAATTATTTTGAGCGAATCTTTCATTTTTATTTCAAGAAGTTCAATATTCTTTTCATGTATAGACATACTTATGTCATCTGCATACAAGCAGAGGGCATTGTTTTCTACCCGTTCAGATAAATGTTTTGGCATCCCTCCCAAGTAGCACAGGAACAGGAATGGACCCAACACAGATCCCTGAGGAACAGAATACTTAACTTCCCTAACATTAGATCTAACATTGTACATCTTATTTCCATCTAAATACCCAATGTTAACAAACTGTTGGCGGCCCTCTAAATAAGATTTTATCCAGTCCAGTTCTTTACCACTAATTCCATATGCTCTGAGTTTTTGCAGTAACTTTAAATGATTCACGCTATCAAAAGCCTTAGACATATCTAAAAAGGCGCCAACAACATAATTGTCCTCATCCAACTTATGTAATACATTTTCAATATAAGAAATTAGAGCTGTAGTAGTAGATTTATTTTTTCTATATCCATGCTGTTCTTGATCTAATAAGTGGTTATTTTCAAAATAATCTACTAGTTGAAAAAGTAAACTTTTTTCAAATAGCTTTGATAGAGCAGGTTGAATTGCCAATGGTCTATAGTTTTGCGGATCTTTTTTATCACCTTTTTTATATACTGGAATTATTTTTGATATTTTTAGTTGAGCGGGAAAAACGCCTGTTATTAGTGATGTATTAATCACATGTAAAAGTGGCTTTAACAAAACAGATTTTGATTCTTTAATAATTTTGATTGGAATTTCATCATAACCGGATGACCATTTAGGTTTTATTGAATCAATTATGGATGTCAAAATTGATTCATCGATGGTTTGACACCTAAATTTTATGTTTAAAATACTTTGATCAGAATGTTGTTGGGTTTTCTTTAATTTTGGTAAAACATTTTTGTCAACCATCTCAGCAAAATTATCATTTAAGATGTTTGCGACAGCATATGGTTCTTCTATTTTTTTGCCGTTATGTTTGAGTGAAATATTACTATGACATCTTTCTTTTTTACTTTTTGTTTCAGTGTTCACAATTTTCCAAACAGTTTTGTTAACATTGGTAGAATTTCTAATTTTATTGTCAAAATGGGTTTTTTTCTTAAGTTCTATCATATTTTTGTATCTCTTCTTGTGTTCCTTAATATAATTCTTCAATGCTATGTTACTTCTATCATCTCTATATAAGTCATGTTCTGCAATTATTTCATGACGCTCATTGATAATTTCATCATCAATCCATCCATTATTTACATTACTGGAAACTATTTTTGTTTTAGGGAAATGTAAATTGAAGTAATATTTTAAAATGTTATAGAAATAAGTAAATTTGTCTTCCACATTACAGTTATAAAGTTTTGTCCAATCCTCTTTGGAAAGGTCATAAATGAAAAGGTTAATGCTCTCTTGTTTATACCTCCTTTCATACTTATGTATTTTAAGATTTAAATTGTTTTTTGTACTTTTTGAACTGAGGATTTTAAAAAGTTGTCCATCATGATCTGACAATGCTGTAATTAAACATTCTACTTCAAAAAAATTGTTATCTAAATTAGTAATAAAATTATCAATGGCAGATAAACTCTTTTCAGCAACTCTAGTTGGAATTTTAATTGTATATTTAAAACCATGCATCTGCAAAACATTAACAAACTTCTTTTTCTTATTGTCTTCCCTCAAAACATCAATATTAAAATCACCCCCCAATAAAATTTTTTTGTCAGTTTTACTTAAAATTTTCAAAAGTTCACTTAGTTTTTCCAAATATATATCAACGTCTTGTGATGGTGTTCTATATACCCCAGCCACTAAAAATTTTTCTTTGCCTGCTTTAATTTCTGTTACACAAGATTCAAAGATTTTATCTTGATTAAGCGCCTGTAATGAACTTAGTATTATATTTTTGAATTCAATTTTTTCTGACACCAAAATTAATACCCCCCCTCCCCCGAAATCTGTTCTAGTGTACCAGGTCGAAACTTGATACCCTGGTATTTTGAGTTTTGTTATTTCATGTTGGTTTAATTTATGTTCAGTCAAAATTATAATATGTGGCTTTAATTCTTCAATTGTGATAATTAATGAGTCAATTCTAGTTGCTAGACATTGTATGTTTTGATGGAAGACAGATATACTACATGATTTCTTATCATTATTGATCTTAGAAGTTAATTCTAAAGATTTAGGTACTACACTCACTTTGCTACCAGGCATGGCCATGCCTGGGAGTTTAAAATGCATGAATTTTAGTCAACCCAATCCAAATATCAACAGTAACAGTATAAATAGACCATTTTAATTTATTTGGTTGCCTGGCACATTAGAGAATGTCCATAGCTTATAAGACTGTTTTGGTATGTGTTGGCATTTAAAGAATTTGAAAATACACTTTGAAAAGCACTCTAAAGATTAAAATACAGATTATATGTGTATTAATATGCATGAATTTTAGTCTGAATACAGACGTTTATAGTTGTTTTAATTTATATAAGGATAAGGATTTTAATTTATAAAATAATAGGGGAACTCTTACAAACTTTCCTGCTTTCTTGGTTGCAGACGCTCCTATAGTAATCTCACATCCTCATTTCTACCAAGGAGAAGCTGAATTTAGAGATTACGCACAAGGCTGCTCACCCGACCCAGATAAACATCTAAGCATGGTGTATCTTGAACCGGTTGGTATTATACAGGGTTATTACAAATGATGTTCATGATTTCAGGCGAACCTAAAATACAGTTTTATCTGTTATACAAAAACATAAAACTTTGATGTTTATTTGTTTTCACGTCCAGTGCCTTTGGATGACTGAAATCTGTCATCGCATGCTGATTGGTTCCTGGAATCTGGAACCCAATTTCAGCTGTCTCTAGTAGACATTTCTGAATTTCGATATGACTAATCAAAGTCATTTTAAACTTAATTGAGGTATAATTAATAAATATACATAGTCTCTGTGAAAATTTTGAAAAGTAGGGCACTCTTGACATTGTGGATTGCTAAATTCTTCCACTGTCACACAGAGTTTGTAAAAGCGAGTCGAACGCTCGTACTGCCCAGTGAATGCTGGAATCTCGTAATGAACACGTTCCACGCAAATCACATTTACTGTTGTCTCATGGTGGTCTTCGGACCTATCCATGACTGAAGAGACTAAAATAAAGTCGAAACAACAGAGCACACTTCTAATCCTGAAAGATGGATTAGTCGTATTGGACATAGCGCAGGCTCAATCAAATTTCGAATCTACAAACCACACACGAACATGGATCGTACACACCCGAGACGGTACGTGTGACAATCTCAATGCTCGGAGAGGTTGAGATTTTGGTTTTGTAATTTGAAAGAACATTCAAAAGAATGTAATTGAAAATTGGCAAGGGATTCGTCCCATTTACCTTCAAAAAGATTAACCTGTAATGAAGCGCTTGTCTTATCCCCTCACAATAACGCGTAACCGGGTTTTAGACGTAGGGCAGATGCTGATCTTAATTGCAGCTATCAACCACGAAAGCTATATGCTGTGGGAACCCTCACGATCGCCGGATAGGCAGATGCCGCCCACACGAATTGTGTAGAAGAGCCTAAACGTGCTACTGTTTGATGATATCAGTGATTCTAAATTGCAGTCTGATTGAGAAGACTGACCAGCTCCGCTGGATTTGCAACTACATCACCTGTCACAATCACTTTAACCAATTAATAATTTTGAGTGACTTGTAACATTAGGTGCAAGTGTTTGGCTTCGCAACCTTCTAAAATTCTAAATTAATTTTGCAGGTTAGATGTATTGGTCACGAAACTCGTTCTTGGGGTTATACGTGCGAAAAGACGCCCTAGTGGCGGAATCACTCTTGCAACGTAAAAGGTGCGATTATACGCATAACGATATCATCTGTTTCGGTCTCAGGGCTAGATAGCCCATACCTCATCAGGTGCACACTTTAGTGCACGACAGATTGAATTATAATGTGTTGAGGACGGATTAAATTTTTCATCGTCCAACTGAAATTTTGAATTTTGATGTTTCTAAATTTTGAAAAGATGAAATTGTCAACTTAGAGTTGACCAGGCACACCTGAGTATTTACTCATTGTTCTTGAATTATTGTGGACGGACTCATCAATTTTGATGTTTATTTGTTTTCACGTCCAGTGCCTTTGGATGACTGAAATCTGTCATCGCATGCTGATTGGTTCCTGGAATCTGGAACCCAATTTCAGCTGTCTCTAGTAGACATTTCTGAATTTCGATATGACTAATCAAAGTCATTTTAAACTTAATTGAGGTATAATTAATAAATATACATAGTCTCTGTGAAAATTTTGAAAAGTAGGGCACTCTTGACATTGTGGATTGCTAAATTCTTCCACTGTCACACAGAGTTTGTAAAAGCGAGTCGAACGCTCGTACTGCCCAGTGAATGCTGGAATCTCGTAATGAACACGTTCCACGCAAATCACATTTACTGTTGTCTCATGGTGGTCTTCGGACCTATCCATGACTGAAGAGACTAAAATAAAGTCGAAACAACAGAGCACACTTCTAATCCTGAAAGATGGATTAGTCGTATTGGACATAGCGCAGGCTCAATCAAATTTCGAATCTACAAACCACACACGAACATGGATCGTACACACCCGAGACGGTACGTGTGACAATCTCAATGCTCGGAGAGGTTGAGATTTTGGTTTTGTAATTTGAAAGAACATTCAAAAGAATGTAATTGAAAATTGGCAAGGGATTCGTCCCATTTACCTTCAAAAAGATTAACCTGTAATGAAGCGCTTGTCTTATCCCCTCACAATAACGCGTAACCGGGTTTTAGACGTAGGGCAGATGCTGATCTTAATTGCAGCTATCAACCACGAAAGCTATATGCTGTGGGAACCCTCACGATCGCCGGATAGGCAGATGCCGCCCACACGAATTGTGTAGAAGAGCCTAAACGTGCTACTGTTTGATGATATCAGTGATTCTAAATTGCAGTCTGATTGAGAAGACTGACCAGCTCCGCTGGATTTGCAACTACATCACCTGTCACAATCACTTTAACCAATTAATAATTTTGAGTGACTTGTAACATTAGGTGCAAGTGTTTGGCTTCGCAACCTTCTAAAATTCTAAATTAATTTTGCAGGTTAGATGTATTGGTCACGAAACTCGTTCTTGGGGTTATACGTGCGAAAAGACGCCCTAGTGGCGGAATCACTCTTGCAACGTAAAAGGTGCGATTATACGCATAACGATATCATCTGTTTCGGTCTCAGGGCTAGATAGCCCATACCTCATCAGGTGCACACTTTAGTGCACGACAGATTGAATTATAATGTGTTGAGGACGGATTAAATTTTTCATCGTCCAACTGAAATTTTGAATTTTGATGTTTCTAAATTTTGAAAAGATGAAATTGTCAACTTAGAGTTGACCAGGCACACCTGAGTATTTACTCATTGTTCTTGAATTATTGTGGACGGACTCATCAATTTTGATGTTTATTTGTTTTCACGTCCAGTGCCTTTGGATGACTGAAATCTGTCATCGCATGCTGATTGGTTCCTGGAATCTGGAACCCAATTTCAGCTGTCTCTAGTAGACATTTCTGAATTTCGATATGACTAATCAAAGTCATTTTAAACTTAATTGAGGTATAATTAATAAATATACATAGTCTCTGTGAAAATTTTGAAAAGTAGGGCACTCTTGACATTGTGGATTGCTAAATTCTTCCACTGTCACACAGAGTTTGTAAAAGCGAGTCGAACGCTCGTACTGCCCAGTGAATGCTGGAATCTCGTAATGAACACGTTCCACGCAAATCACATTTACTGTTGTCTCATGGTGGTCTTCGGACCTATCCATGACTGAAGAGACTAAAATAAAGTCGAAACAACAGAGCACACTTCTAATCCTGAAAGATGGATTAGTCGTATTGGACATAGCGCAGGCTCAATCAAATTTCGAATCTACAAACCACACACGAACATGGATCGTACACACCCGAGACGGTACGTGTGACAATCTCAATGCTCGGAGAGGTTGAGATTTTGGTTTTGTAATTTGAAAGAACATTCAAAAGAATGTAATTGAAAATTGGCAAGGGATTCGTCCCATTTACCTTCAAAAAGATTAACCTGTAATGAAGCGCTTGTCTTATCCCCTCACAATAACGCGTAACCGGGTTTTAGACGTAGGGCAGATGCTGATCTTAATTGCAGCTATCAACCACGAAAGCTATATGCTGTGGGAACCCTCACGATCGCCGGATAGGCAGATGCCGCCCACACGAATTGTGTAGAAGAGCCTAAACGTGCTACTGTTTGATGATATCAGTGATTCTAAATTGCAGTCTGATTGAGAAGACTGACCAGCTCCGCTGGATTTGCAACTACATCACCTGTCACAATCACTTTAACCAATTAATAATTTTGAGTGACTTGTAACATTAGGTGCAAGTGTTTGGCTTCGCAACCTTCTAAAATTCTAAATTAATTTTGCAGGTTAGATGTATTGGTCACGAAACTCGTTCTTGGGGTTATACGTGCGAAAAGACGCCCTAGTGGCGGAATCACTCTTGCAACGTAAAAGGTGCGATTATACGCATAACGATATCATCTGTTTCGGTCTCAGGGCTAGATAGCCCATACCTCATCAGGTGCACACTTTAGTGCACTAAAGTGTGCACCTGATGAGGTATGGGCTATCTAGCCCTGAGACCGAAACAGATGATATCGTTATGCGTATAATCGCACCTTTTACGTTGCAAGAGTGATTCCGCCACTAGGGCGTCTTTTCGCACGTATAACCCCAAGAACGAGTTTCGTGACCAATACATCTAACCTGCAAAATTAATTTAGAATTTTAGAAGGTTGCGAAGCCAAACACTTGCACCTAATGTTACAAGTCACTCAAAATTATTAATTGGTTAAAGTGATTGTGACAGGTGATGTAGTTGCAAATCCAGCGGAGCTGGTCAGTCTTCTCAATCAGACTGCAATTTAGAATCACTGATATCATCAAACAGTAGCACGTTTAGGCTCTTCTACACAATTCGTGTGGGCGGCATCTGCCTATCCGGCGATCGTGAGGGTTCCCACAGCATATAGCTTTCGTGGTTGATAGCTGCAATTAAGATCAGCATCTGCCCTACGTCTAAAACCCGGTTACGCGTTATTGTGAGGGGATAAGACAAGCGCTTCATTACAGGTTAATCTTTTTGAAGGTAAATGGGACGAATCCCTTGCCAATTTTCAATTACATTCTTTTGAATGTTCTTTCAAATTACAAAACCAAAATCTCAACCTCTCCGAGCATTGAGATTGTCACACGTACCGTCTCGGGTGTGTACGATCCATGTTCGTGTGTGGTTTGTAGATTCGAAATTTGATTGAGCCTGCGCTATGTCCAATACGACTAATCCATCTTTCAGGATTAGAAGTGTGCTCTGTTGTTTCGACTTTATTTTAGTCTCTTCAGTCATGGATAGGTCCGAAGACCACCATGAGACAACAGTAAATGTGATTTGCGTGGAACGTGTTCATTACGAGATTCCAGCATTCACTGGGCAGTACGAGCGTTCGACTCGCTTTTACAAACTCTGTGTGACAGTGGAAGAATTTAGCAATCCACAATGTCAAGAGTGCCCTACTTTTCAAAATTTTCACAGAGACTATGTATATTTATTAATTATACCTCAATTAAGTTTAAAATGACTTTGATTAGTCATATCGAAATTCAGAAATGTCTACTAGAGACAGCTGAAATTGGGTTCCAGATTCCAGGAACCAATCAGCATGCGATGACAGATTTCAGTCATCCAAAGGCACTGGACGTGAAAACAAATAAACATCAAAATTGATGAGTCCGTCCACAATAATTCAAGAACAATGAGTAAATACTCAGGTGTGCCTGGTCAACTCTAAGTTGACAATTTCATCTTTTCAAAATTTAGAAACATCAAAATTCAAAATTTCAGTTGGACGATGAAAAATTTAATCCGTCCTCAACACATTATAATTCAATCTGTCGTGCACTAAAGTGTGCACCTGATGAGGTATGGGCTATCTAGCCCTGAGACCGAAACAGATGATATCGTTATGCGTATAATCGCACCTTTTACGTTGCAAGAGTGATTCCGCCACTAGGGCGTCTTTTCGCACGTATAACCCCAAGAACGAGTTTCGTGACCAATACATCTAACCTGCAAAATTAATTTAGAATTTTAGAAGGTTGCGAAGCCAAACACTTGCACCTAATGTTACAAGTCACTCAAAATTATTAATTGGTTAAAGTGATTGTGACAGGTGATGTAGTTGCAAATCCAGCGGAGCTGGTCAGTCTTCTCAATCAGACTGCAATTTAGAATCACTGATATCATCAAACAGTAGCACGTTTAGGCTCTTCTACACAATTCGTGTGGGCGGCATCTGCCTATCCGGCGATCGTGAGGGTTCCCACAGCATATAGCTTTCGTGGTTGATAGCTGCAATTAAGATCAGCATCTGCCCTACGTCTAAAACCCGGTTACGCGTTATTGTGAGGGGATAAGACAAGCGCTTCATTACAGGTTAATCTTTTTGAAGGTAAATGGGACGAATCCCTTGCCAATTTTCAATTACATTCTTTTGAATGTTCTTTCAAATTACAAAACCAAAATCTCAACCTCTCCGAGCATTGAGATTGTCACACGTACCGTCTCGGGTGTGTACGATCCATGTTCGTGTGTGGTTTGTAGATTCGAAATTTGATTGAGCCTGCGCTATGTCCAATACGACTAATCCATCTTTCAGGATTAGAAGTGTGCTCTGTTGTTTCGACTTTATTTTAGTCTCTTCAGTCATGGATAGGTCCGAAGACCACCATGAGACAACAGTAAATGTGATTTGCGTGGAACGTGTTCATTACGAGATTCCAGCATTCACTGGGCAGTACGAGCGTTCGACTCGCTTTTACAAACTCTGTGTGACAGTGGAAGAATTTAGCAATCCACAATGTCAAGAGTGCCCTACTTTTCAAAATTTTCACAGAGACTATGTATATTTATTAATTATACCTCAATTAAGTTTAAAATGACTTTGATTAGTCATATCGAAATTCAGAAATGTCTACTAGAGACAGCTGAAATTGGGTTCCAGATTCCAGGAACCAATCAGCATGCGATGACAGATTTCAGTCATCCAAAGGCACTGGACGTGAAAACAAATAAACATCAAAATTGATGAGTCCGTCCACAATAATTCAAGAACAATGAACATAAAACTGTTACGAAAAACATTATTGATCACATGAAAACATTTGAAGTTTCCTTCCAGATTCACAAGACTAATGTTTGATATGAGAACCACTTTGGATACGACAGATGTCAATACTATAGTCCAGCCTTTGCTATACTTTGATAAGGGTGTCCAATGTTTCTATAGCGTTAGTAGTCCATTGCCGGATCCCAGGTATGCTATCTGGTAATGGTATCGTGTATAAGGTCAATCGAAAAAAAACAAAACACAAAATACAAAAACAAGAAAAAATCGTTAATGGAGAGATCTTAGAGGCCAGTTCAGAAATGTCTATCGTACCACCGCGCCCGATCCACCTTTCAGGCAGCTTATTGTTAAGTACAGTCCTAACATCCAAGTTAATGGCTAGCTTGTGATTGGTTATTAGACTTGTGTAGAACATTAACATTTTACTAGTCAAGAAAAAAACTGAAACTTGTTAAAGTTCTTAATGGTACTTTTCATGCTGGGACTTTAACATATTATACAAACGAGAATTCCATACCAAAACCATTATGAAAATAAACATAAGTCATAGTTTATGGTTTTATAGTTTTAGTGCAGCCTCCAAGAAATGTAGGAAAAGGGGGTTTTAATTGCCAGGCCAACGTGGCCAACGTATCAGAGTGGGAAGTGACATTCATAGGGAAAATAACTATGTTCTAAACCTTATATTGATTAATCAATAAAAAGTAAACTTTACAAATGCATTATGTCTGACTTACAGCACGTTTTTAAATATACGGCAACTTATTCCATTAATTAATGATAGTTATTTTAACTTTTGTGTTTTCATTCAAGCACCAAATAGAATGTGTATTACAGAAAAAAATAAATTTAAATTAAACCTTTTACAAGTATGTTAATTTACAGCGTTTCTTAGTGTTTCTTAAATGTTTAACAATATTCAAGATTTCCCTCTCATTAGTTGGTTCTAGGTTCTAGGTATATACTTTCTAAAACTCTAGATCCTAAAAACTTATATTTCAATTTATCAAAGCTCCTAGCCATGTTTGAGAACAAAAAAAATTACTAAATTCGTTTACAATAATTTCAGGGTTTTGTATCACTGATTCCTTTATTTTCAAACTTATGTTTGGTTTCAAATTACATTTTCTGCCAAGGTCTGTATTAATAAGGTTCCATATGGTTTTACTAATATTGTTTGACTCTCTAATTCTAGAGTTAAAATGTTCTTTTCTAGCCTCGATAAGCAGATTACTGTAGCACGACTTGTGGTAGTTGTAAAGCCTTTTAATGTCAGAACCACAGGATGTACTAGCTATCACAGATTAAAAAAAAAATAACATATTTTTTGCATTTAAAATCTTTTTACTTTTCCAGAAATAACTTGTATTCTTGTTTTTATTTATGTTTAATTTCTTTGTTATTAAAGGAAAACTCAGATCATAATAGTAGGAAAAAACTGCAAAAAATCTATTAAACATCTCATTGGCTGTTTGACTACCTAATACACAATTCCATGACTCATTGTTTAAGTGGTAAATAAAAGTGTTTGTATTTATGGTATCAATAATTCTTTTTTTTACAATTTTTGTGCTGTTTGTTATTTTGGTTTTTAACATAATGGTACCTAATTGAAATTGCATAGTGGTCTGATACACTGGATCTAATACCACAGTGACTATGGTTACTTATGTACAAACTATTGCTTACAAAGATATTATCAATACATGTTTTAGACAATGGTGTTACTCTGGTAGGATCTCTTATTAGATATTTTAAACCAAATTCAAGGCTTAAGTATATGCTAAACATAGTAGCTCAGTGATAAAATTAAATCTGTGTGTCCAGCGATCTGGTGTACCAGTAAAAGCAGCTAAGAGGATTCAGTTCAACATGCCACTCAAGAGGATTAAGGGCTTCAGCTTTGTTGAGAATGTCACCGAAGGAATCTTCCCTCTAATGTGGCTTGAAGAGGTTAGTACAACTTTATGGAACATATGAGTGTCTACATAGCTTGTCAGCTAGCCAAGTCCAACCGCCACACTTGCTCTTTACCGGGTTTAACAAAAGCTCTGGAAAAATGTTGACTGACTATAACACGCCACTCACCAGTGGCGGTTCCAGAGAGGAGGCCATAGGGGCCATGGCTCCCCCTCCCCCCGAGAATCAGGAATTTTTATTTTTTTAATTCAAGCTTTAATTTTAAAAAATGTCTTACAAATTGCCGCACATATCCCCGTTTCCCACCATCCTATGCCTTCGTCACGTCAGTCATACAGTACCTCCTACTACCCACTAGTGGCTCAGTAGTCAGTTGAGTATTTGTTTTGTTACGGTTTATTTGTTAGTAACACAGTTTTACAAGATTGGACCTATATGCATTCCTCCACTTAAGCACAAGCATATGAGAAAATTATAATGGTAAGTAAAGGAAGCGTTTAAGGCTTAGGCCGTCGACACACGGGAAGACTGTTTTCCAACTGAAATCGGCAACTAGTTGGACAAACTAGTCACCAGCGTCCCGACCAATGTAGTTAGGTGGGACAGTGCACACGGTGCGACTGCGATGCGACCAGTCGTTAAGCAACCGGACCTGCCGGTTGCTAGGTGATTTCAGTCGCCTGGTTTGAACAACTTTTCGCATATTTGTATTGCGCTTCTCAAAGATCGGGTATACCAACTGCGATAACTCTTCGTAAGTACTTTTTGACATCCTGTTCATAGACTGAAATTTTGCATCTGTTTCTTTTAATGCAGCGGCAGCTACAAAGAGCCTACATTTAATATTTGTTTTAACATAAGGATGTACCCAATACCTTCTACGTTCTTGATTGTCTATAAAACACCAGGGCTTCTTAATCACTACCACTCATTTCAAACACCATACACAGTACACAGTATCGTTATAACAAAATTAGAACTCATTTACTGTCTCAACTCAACTACAGTCGCGTCCGTGTGCGGATTTAACCAACGCAACTGCAATCGTAATCACGTCACAAAAAAGTTGGTTCAACTTTAGTTGGGTTTCAGTCTTCCCGTGTGTCGACCGCCTTAAGCTTTGCTTAGCTGTTTTCTAAGCTAGGTTAGTCTAGACTCAAGATTGAGCAACCGCCATTAGAGTACTACGAGTGTGACGTTGCTGATGTCTACCTGACTACCACACTGACGTTTCTACAGAGTATTCACTCATGTAGACATGTGCGTTCAAGTGTATACATCAACAACGTCGCAGTGTCGCACGCGCACCCATCCGGCTGAAAAATGTCGTACAGACACCATCTATATTATAACCATAACCATTATAACCATCTATATTATATTATGCTTAATCTAATACTCCCCCTGGATACTGGCGCGTATGTGGTGGAAAACCGGGCCGTGCCCACCATTCGGAATGAATCTCTCTCTTTTACAAAAACATACATTCTTTCAACCTGCTCTGCTACACTTATTTTTTAACATAAAGATTTCAAATTTATATGGTTTTTTTCTAAAGACAGTGCTTATTACTGTGTAGTTAGTTTGAACCTTAACATATTTTGTTATAGTTTATTTAGGCAAAGTAAGATTGATGGTCGTTTTTTAACACCACTAAAAAGGAATACAATGTGCGTCGACATTATGAAACAAAACATTTAAAAATATACATATGAAATTACAGGGCCAGTAAGAACAGAAAAAGTGTTATCAAATGAAAAAAGGAAGTTGTGCACTTAAACTCTCCATTCAGATTACAAGATATTAACATTTTTCTTCGCCAGAGTGCTTAAAATGTCGACTTTGTAAGTATAATTTTTCAAAAATTTCCGGGGGAGGACCCCGTACCCCCCTCCCACAATGAGGGGTATTCCATACCCCCCAAACCCCCCGGTGGTTGTGGCCATGCTGGCCTAGAATTAGAATACCCCACACACCCTCAATAGAATGGTCTAGGTGAAGGTGGTGCTGGCGCAAAATACTATCATTGTTGAAATGTGAAGAATTTTTCTTTACTTTAGATACACTATTGTATTATCCTAAAAAAAAACAATCGAAACCCACATTTAAAGTTAATAACATTTAAGACAGCTAAATAATACGAGCATAGCTTGACTTTAAAAAATGATTATTTTATACTTAATTCATAAAAAAGTACCAACGATAATGGGTAAAGTATACATTTTTCTTTTGCATTAAATAGTAGTTATACTTATCAACATCAGTAAACTTACCTTACACCCTATGGTAATTGTTTAAAAACACATTTGTTAAAAATAGAATGATTTATAAATGTATTAAAAAATAATAGCATTGCTTTAGGTTTGGCCCCAATTTAATTCATAATTCGAAAATTAGAAACAGATTATTAAATAAGAGTAAACATATTAATCTCTTTTAGGGGATTGATCCCTTAAATTTAACGAAATAATTAATTGTTAGTAATTACAAATATGTAAATGATACTATTCTAAAGGTTATGCCAAGAAGTACCTTAATTGAGAAACAGCCTAGGCTAGATTCATATCACTGAAATGGAGTCAAAATACACCATGTCCAAACAAAAAAAATAATAAACTGAACAATTTTAAATTGTTATATAATACGTCCAGGCATACCTAGTCTATTTTGAAGGTGATCATATGATAACTGAGCTTAAAGTTTTGTTCAATATCAATTGTAACTATCAGCTGATTCATTGTTGTCGCTTGAAACTTGAAATTTCAAAATATTGCCCTGTCATTAATCAGGCACCATGAACGCACGAGAGAAAGTGGTACATTCAAAGTAAGTCAGATATTGCACTGCAAAAAACATTTATAGAAGACGCTATGGTTGACATCCACCATCACGGAACAGCTTTTAAGCCTGGTATGACAAACTTATGTTAACTTGAAGCTTACAACATTTAAAAGGTAATGGTAGGCCTAAAATCCAAAATGAAAGTCGCTGTGTAGCGCGTGAGTTAAATTTGTCAAAATCTAGCATTCATAGAATATTAAAAAAAATGTGAATATGAAAGCTTATAAATTGAAAATTCTACAACAAATAACCCCAGATTACAAACTTAAACATAAACACTGTGCAATTTGATTATTGAACATTTGTTACCTTATAGCCTTTGTTCTTGTAGAAAGATGTTAAATACTGCAATATATTTTGTATTGCTCCCTGTTTTATTTGCTCCCTATTTTATTTGCTCCCTGTTGCAGCAATCCTAAGTACGGCACTTGTTAAACTAATGCTATTTAAATAGGGAATAAATATGAAAATTTTAAGGAGATATTCTAGTGTAAATCAAATAAGGGAAATGGCAATTCTATTAGTCTGCAGGTTTGCTGCAGAGGGGGGTAAATACCATTACTTTACACTCTTTACAACGTATCTACGGACCCACAATGGTGTTTTGTGACGAGCGGCAACAACACTAGATCGTGTAGTGCCTACATACCGAACCACGGCAACGTCTGCAGCGACTTCTGGCCGAGACTGTACCGTTGGACCTTGTGAAATTTGGACATTGTGAAACGGTGATTATTTGAATGTTATAGTTTTGGACCTTATGAAATTTGGACCTTGTGAAAGGCTCTGTTTATTAATATTTTAACCGTTGGACCTTGTGAAATTTGGACTTTATGAACCTCACCCCTCTGCTAGTATCAGATAAATGTGCAGCCGAGGAGCATACTTACCAAACGTTGCTAGTAGTTTGAGCCTTGTTTTTACAACAGTCTCTACACTTCTGTTCACTTTGTTTTCTAATTTTGTTCACAGTCAGTGGAAATAGACGAGGCTCACCTTTGGCCTGTCAGGTTTGTCTTGATGGCCGAATGGATAGTCAACTTCATCTGTGTCTGTGTGGGTTCTCTTATGGTGAAGATTTTCGTCTGTGCGTTGCTCAGCTACCTTTATCTCACCAGAGCTTGCTGCTTCCGTAATATCTCCAGCAATAGAGTCACAGCTATCTTCTACCACCCTAGGAGCTCGAGTGATACTGACAGAGCTCAGCCGGATCAAACTACCATGTGATTTTGTAAAAAATACAAACACAGAACTAGAGTCAAGCTTCGGCTTAAGGTTTGCATTGAGGGCAAAATTGTTTCATGTTAAGTTTGTGCTCAAGACTTTGTGCTAAAGTTTGAGATTCGGTTGAAGAGGAGAGCAAAAGAGATGGTTTCATGATTGATTAATCTCCTCGGGATAGGATTGTAACCATTACAGATTTAAAGGGTAAACTCCCCTTATTACCGACTACCCTTCATCAAAATGTAGTAAATCTATTAGAATTGTAATTATGAATGTTAAATTAGTTTTTCCCACAGGTTACCTGACAAAGTTGGCTTCCTTGTACTGTTTATAGTACAGAAAGCTGCTAATTGCTGCATATTTATACTTTGTCGTACGGTTTATAGGTACTTTGTCGTACGGTGTATACTTTAGCGCACATCAGGATTCCAACGAAACAACATAAAACAGCATGGTTCTATTATGCACGTAATCCGTGTACGCTTGGAAATAGGTTGGCAACACTTAAAGATAATATACTATGAGCAGCTGATTGAACTACGATTTAACCTGTCATTTTGTGTTTATAGTTTCGGTATTTCTGAACTTTCTGGACTTTTCTTTTAAACGTTTTTAAAACATTCTTACGATCTTAATAGACAAGAAAATACCTTTAAAGAATTTTTTAGACGCGGAAACCACTTCAAATTACAAAAAAATACGGAACTATATTCTCAAGTCGCGGAGTACATTTCTTGCCGAGGAAAAATAGCGGAGTGATACGGACCGGGTACTACTTTCTCTAGGGCACCTATTTGTGTTGCCAGCTGAACCTAAAAACGTGTTGTATAGTGTTTGAAAGACTAATTATTTATATGCTTTATAGTGACTTTAGGAAAAATATAATGTGTAACACGAGTGCAAAAGGCCTTTGCTGCACTCGAGATCATTCCGCACGAGCCGCAAACATTGCTCTTGTGTGCAGCAAAGTGCCACTTTGCCCACTAGTTACACAAATAGTTACACAAATAACTATTGAGGCACTCATTTTCTTTTGCCGCACTCCAGCATTTCAACACAAAACAGTGTGCATTTAATAGGCATGTAATACGTGTACGCTTGAAAATAAGTTGGCAAAACTTAAAGGTACTACGACTACAATCAGCTGTTGCAGCGTTTCCGATTTCGTTCAATGCTTGGATTTAACCTAACCTAAAAACATGGTGTATAGTGTTTGAAAGACTGATTAGTTATATGATTTATAGTAACTGTAGGCAAAGTATAATGTGTAAGGCGAGTGTAAAGTGCCTTTGCTGCACTATAGAAACTTTCCACACCCACCTGCGGCTTCGTGCATAACATTTCTCTTATGTGCAGCAATGTGCCACTTTGCACATTAGTTACAAAAATAACTATTGCTTTATTACTCGTAGTTTTTAGTTTTAATAATCAAAGAGTTTTTGGTTAACTTGTGTTAAATTGTTTACTGTTCTGTTCTTGTATTTTTCTTTTCTGTTATATTGTAAAATATGAGGTTATTAAAGAAGAATAATGCAAAACTAAACATTTGGTAGGCCTAAATCAATTTCTGTTTTTCAAACAGCTGATTGTTAAACCAATGGAAAGGGCATGTTCATATTGTTTCGACAAGTTTATGTTTTGTCTCAGTTGCTTAGTTGAGTACAACGAAGCCTGCCAACAAATGGCTACTACAAAATAAGAAAATGGCATTTTACTGTCAGTCTTAACACGAGGCACACACACTTAAAAAATGGCCCAAAGGTTTAATGATACTTTTATTTTATATTACCTTAGATATAATATTGACGCTGAAATATAGACACAATCCTTTACACTGAAATATAGACAATAATATTGACGCTGAAATATAGAAACAATCCTTTACACTTTGGCTATTGATTGACACACTATGTGAAGTAGACATTCCATTTCCTTACTAAAGTTTAAGCCAGTAGGTAAAAAAATGAAATTAGTATAATTGGGCAACCAACAGAGTGTGCTATAGATAGATACTATTTTCTTCGACAGATTGGTAAAGGTTTTAAACATCGTTTCCCCTATGGACAAATTAATGTATGTTTGTTAGTTAAACATTAGAAAATCAGCAGAAGGGTTTTACTTGAATATCAGGGTTAGGGGTATTTAGGCTACAGCTAAACCAATCAAAGCAAGTGGATGGATGAGATAATGAAAGGTGTAGAAGAAAGGAAGGAGATCAAGTGAGAAAGATGTCGAGAGAGCGAGATAGGAAAAGATAAAGAGAGGCCTACCCAGATCAGAATATAACCTAAAAGAAATATGATATTTATGTAAATCAAAAGAAACCAAACTTGTTCTTAAAATGGGTTTTAATAAATCGTTCAAAGATTTGAAAACAGATATTTAATAAAGAATAAATATATTATTATCACAGATGGTTCATTTGGTTTACAACAACAATCCAGCCTTAACTTCATCAGCTTTAGTCTTGTTAGTCAACTGTTTGGCCAGCTCCAGGGCAAAATCAAAGGCAGTCCCTGGACCTCTGCTAGTGATTAAATTACCTGTGGAGAAACGTTTTTGGTAAGCAAATTTAATAAAAAGGATTAAATGGGAAATTTGCTAGTAAAATTCACAAAAATCAGTATTGCTGTTGATACAAAACAAAAGTATAAGAAGACAGAGAGCAAAAATATTCCCTTCTGTGTAAAGCGAAAACAAAAACACTTAACAGCAATGGTCAGAATCTCATTTGAGTGACAAATAAAAATATAACACAAGTAAAGTCCTGTTTTAATTTTAACTGAGTTTTTACTATCAATCAGAGTAGTTTTTATTATAATCTCTTAATAAATGTATAAATAATATTGTTTGTCTAATGTTTCAACACCCGAAAAAAATCCCCGTGTGTCACCGATCGTGCTTTAAAATCAAAGACACCAATGAAGGGTTAATGAATGAATGTACAACAAAGATATTTAGACCTTGATTAAACAATATTACTAACAATAATACACAATTGAGAAACCTACCATCAACGACAACCTTGTCCTCACTGTATTTGTAGTCTTTCACTAGTTCTCCCTTCACACTCGGGTAAGAGGTTAAGCTTTTACCAGTAGCAATACTATGTGTCTTCAGAACAGAAGGAGCTGAAAAATTTATAAATAAGAATATGATTCAAAGCTGCAGATCTTATTAAATTTATAAACTGCAGCTCTCTCTCTCTCTCTCTTTCATATATATATATATATATCTCTATATATATATCTACATTTACATACCAAAATGATGGTTTGAAAACTGGGATTTACCACTGAAATATATGAAATTCAAGGGAGCACAAATTCACATGTTCACCTGTCTTAACAATCAACTGCATAGGTTCCAGCTACTAGGAGAAATAAGGTTTCAAGTTAAGCAAACTGCTTATTTTGATGTTATTATAAATGTAATGTAACGTACCGGTAAACCAATTTCTAAAGTTTTCACTTATTCTTTTTAGTCTACATAATAGTCATATTGATAAATTTTATTGCACAAAAGGGAAATTTGGAAAGTGGTTGACAATATATTTCTTACTTTTAACCGCCAAAATAAAACTAGACCTAAGTTATATGCCTATAATTAAACGAATTGATAATTTTAAGAATCGATTAGCCTATCTCAATTATTCGCTGTTAGGAAATTATTACAAACAAAAATTTAATGTATTTATAAAAAATGCATTCTCATCACAAAATTAAATTATAAATGGCTCAGATAAAAAAAAACGAATTAGTGAAGTTAAGAGAAAATCATATTCCAACAAAATCAGAAGCAAAATGTTAAGGCTGCCGAGGAGATTCGAACCTGAGATCTCACGATCGTCAGTCGAGTACTCTAGCCACTACACCACCAACTCTGTTTAATCAACGGCGTCGACACGATATTTTAGTTCCGCAATCCCAGTAACTGGCGTGGCAACCAATAATGCTTTTAAACATATGTTAAAACTACGGTATTTCCACGATCCCAGTGGCTAACCCCAACCCCTCACAACAATAATACTGGTAAACAGTTATTGAGGTAATTGAATTGGTGAGTTTTGAGTTTTATGAATGTTCAATGCAAATAAGTCTTCTGTACAAATGATTCTTTATTTAATAATGAAGAAAGAAGACATTGAAGAAAAATAGAGCAAGCAAATTCTACATACAAGAGGTAATAATATTATAATAATAATCGTTATTGCCTTTTAATAATACAGGTATCGCATAGGCCTACCATGATTGATTTGTATGGGTGCGTACACAAAGAACGCCGGTTGCCGGCGGGAGCAAACCGGCAGCTTGCTCCTCGTGCTTATAAGCGCGGCAAAAGCTTGAAGCCGTACATAAAGAAAGCTGGTAACAAGCGCGACAAGTCAGTTCACTTTGAGCAGTGTCAAAGATGTCTTCGTCTAGTGATGATGTGTTTTTGGCGGAGAGTGTTCATGTAAAATTATTGCAAAGGAGGAAAGTCGGTGTTCATGTTATTAATAGACATAGGAAGAAACTTGGTGAAAACCATCACTTGTTTCTGCAATTAAAAGGTGACCCACAACGGTTCTACACATACATGAGAATGGAGCTAGCGACTTTTGATTACATATTAAGAAACATTGAAGGACGTTTGGTTAAAAAATCGCCTTCTTTTGATAAACTTTGGAAATTAAATCATCTGTATCAACCATCACGCTATGACACCCACCAACTGCACAGTACAAAGACCACTCGCGGACTGAGCCGGTTGCCGGAACCGGCTTATAAGAATGTTCTCTTCATACTTGTTTGACGGTTGACGCCGGCAGCTCGCGCTTGTTGCGCTTGTTGAGCCGGCACCGGCGTTTACTGTGTACGGGCACACTTGAAACCATGTTAAGTTCTTCTCGAGCCGGGACGCGCTTACAGCGGCCGGTTTGCCGGCGCCGGCAACCGGCGTTCTTTGTGTACGCACCCTAGTATAGAAATTATTGAGCGGAGCTAAGCGAAGCTCTTATACTACACTCTTGCTTTTGTTTTACAAATACTCCTCCTGAACGGCTGAAGCGATCTGCACGAAATTTAGCACAGTCGTAGTAACCAACCATATAGGAAGGTATGAATCTGAAATGGTAATAATCAGACCACAGGACTTTTCCCTACGTGAATTTAAACTTTTAGAAATTTAACATGGGCCTTATGGGTTAGTTGGTTGCCATGGCATTATTTTCAAGATAACAATAAAAAGGTTAACAAGAGTCGAAACTTATGTTAGTCAACGAATCGTCTGAAATAGCTGACTACAAACCGTACAGAGGAAAAGGGAAGAACAATTGGATTATTAATAGCATTGAGCATAATTTACTACAAAATGAATAACCAATAATAAGGGTTGCCGGAATCAGGCTGATGCACCATATTGCGTTTGGATACTGTAAATAACTTTTACAGTATTTTATGTGAGCAAGACGTGCCATTAATGTAGACTTTGAATATGTAACTTACTGCAATTCGTAATAAATAGGAAATTTTGCAAATTTTGCAGTCTACAAATAGGAATTCCATTAATGTGAACCAAATATAACACTCATAGTTTCGATACTGCAATTAGACAATTCGTTGACGTGAACCCGACGTATCATTGACTTTGAATACTGCACATAGACATCCCATATAAGTGAAGCAGAAGTAGGCCTAAACGTACCATTGACTTCGGATACTGCAATTAGGCATTTTATTTATGTGAACAAAATAAATGGACCATTAATTTATGATACTGAAAGTAGACTATTCATTTACATGTACCATTGAGTTTGGATACTACAAGTAAACAATCCGTCTACGTGAACCAGACGTACAATTGACTTTAGATTCTGTAAATAGGCATTCCATTTATGCGAACACATTTAATTTAGGAGAACTAGATGAAACATAGAATATGGTTCCTGCAAGTAGACAATTCATTCACTTAATCCTGACTTATGAGTGACTTTGGATACCTACTGCAAGAGTGACTTTGGATACCTACTGCAAATAGGCATTCTATTTTAAAATGCGAACCAAATATATCATTGACATTGAATTAATATGCTGGCTCCGCTCAATATTGCAAGAAGTAGGGATGGTCAAGTCTCGAAATTCCGGGAAATTTTCGGGAAATTTTAAATCTCGTTACACGAGACGAGATTTCTTTTTGGCCGAGATTTTTATCGAGACGAGAATAAAAAAAAAAAAAATTCAAAACGCCTGCAGAAAGTCAATGCAATACCCGCAATACAGGAGCGTGTTGTAGTTGCGTTTCCTATGCGAAGGCGTTCTTATTTAATTAATTCTTTAAATGTAAATATTACTTTAATAACATTTGAGAAGTTTTGTTTAGTGTAAGCAGTGTGAGGAATGTTTTATTACTATAAAAAGTCAAAACAAGTAACTATTTTATAAAAATTAATATTGCTTTTATTTTAGGATAAGTTGAACTCTATCCTAACTGATATCACTATGTTTCCTAATCGTAGGCATTTTTAATAAGTTAGGCGTGATTAATAAAAAAATGTTATGCTGATGTTTTTTAATAAAAGATTGTAAATATTCTTGCCTATTATCATTATTTTTGTATTTAAACAGTCATCTAACAATGTTACAAAATCAGGTAACAATTTTGAACGTGCATTTCCCGTTGCGTATGAGAAGGGAAATCCCGTCTCGATCTCGTCTCGAAATTTTATGAGAAATAAAAAATCTCGTCTCGTCTCGTCTCGAACTAAAAATCCAATCTCGTCCATCCCTAGCAAGAAGACAACTGCATTGTACACCTAGTTTAAACTGTCAAACCATATGTTATAATACCATGTTAATGTCATTAGTATAGGCATAGACAAAAATAATTAAATATAGACTGTCAGCCGTGCTGTGGTTATCATAGGTTCTGGCGCACACCGCTGAACTGTTAGAAAGTCGGTGCCAGTACTGGTTTCTAAAAATTCGACTCTCGGTTCACAGCACCGGTACAAACGTGGTCTGTAACCAAACCATAGGCATACCTTAAAAGTAAAGTGCTAACGTTGTAATTTTTTATATAACATGTTTATAGTGTAAAAGGTTTTATATGACGATATAGCAATCAACTTCTTTTGTTTATGGGTGTGTTTGTGATCAAAACTACAAAAAAAAAATCAGGAGAAGATTATCTTCAAGAAGTATAGGATAAGTTGGCAGTTCAGATTCTAAATTAGCCTAATTCAAAACCAATTCGGTTGTTTTTAGATATTTAAGGGTTCATTTAAAAAGCCCTTTCGTTAAGTGCAGGAACCGTAATGAAAGGGTAGTATTTTTAAACAAATTTAAAGTTAGCTGGATTTTATTTAATTAGTCTGAAACCTTAACAGTCGTGTTTGTTTTGTAAATTTACAGTATATTTTTAATGTCTAAATTATTTCTCCTTTATTCACCATTTAATACCCAAAACTATCAGAGTTCTAAGCCCCTTTCTTTGCGGGTGAAAGAATTAAGTCTTGGGAGCATCCCAAATCAAACTACCACAAAGAAAAGTTATCTAAATTTATTAAATATTATCTCGCTAAATTCTTTGTTTGGATATTATATTAACCCTCCGAGTGTTATTTGTCGCTGCAGCGACACATAACACTGTTTACGGCGAAGGCTCTAAGACTGACAAAATCGGATTGAACTGGATCGAGTTAGGTATCGTTTTATTTTACAGATTCAGAGCTTTCTCCGGAGGTCTGTCTCTAAGCGCTATTCACTTTAGTTCCGAAAATATTGTAGCAGACAGCTGACGTGCGTATTTGTAAACAGCTTGGTTATCCTCGGACCGATGACTGATGTGTTTTATTACGTTTATCATTGTTTTAGTGTTAAAAATCAAAAGTAGTGATATACGTGGTGCATTATAAGAAGATTTAAGTGATTTTGAAGGGCTGGTTGATGATCCTGAAGAAGTAGGTAGTGATATTGATGTAAATTATCAGCCAGATTCCTAGCTATGGTTAGGCTATGCATTCTTAGCTAAACGCTATGTACTGAAATCTGTTTTTTGCCCATAACTTATTTATTTGCAAATCTACTTCCTTATATTATTATATATTTGTAATCCTCATAAAATTTAGAACAAAGTGGCTATTTTCAAATATTTATAGGCCTATAATTTATACAATTTCATTGAGCGCAAACTTATTTTTTTTTTCCAAAATATTTTTTTTTACCTAAAAAAATTTTTTGAAACAAATGTTTCTTATGTTCTATGTATAATATTGAAGCCCATGATTTTCCAAACAAAATGGTATATAGAACAGTAGGCCTATAATTAACATTGTTTTCAAGCTTCTCAGATCCGTTTTAATAAAACCTTGCAAATGAGCAAAAAATGGGCAGACATTAAGGCCAAAACAAGGGACACTCGGAGGGTTAATTAGGCCCTGAAGACTCTCTGTAGGATTTCTTATATTATATTTTTGATTAGTAAATTGCTTTGTTATACCCATGTCTTTCGTCAAATAGTTTAAAATTCAATAAGAGTAGTTTTATCAGATTGGCTAGGATAAAATACTCATTGGTTATACAGAACTGTTTCCAAAAGTTAATCAAAATTGTGAAAACATTTTAATAATGATTTTATATATATGAGTTATATAGCTCCCCCTGAGCGTCTGCAGGATTACCTGAGCATTTCTAGAGCCATGAGCCTTCGATTAAATTAAGTTAATAATCAGTCAAAACAGTGAACAGCTTCGTATCGACCCCTGGATTTTGGCTTGGCTTTTTTTGAGCGCTCGAGGGAAGAAACTCGAGTGTGGCTGATTTTAAGGGTAGGCCTAGCCTGATTTTGTGACTACAAGTTCATTCCCCTCCTCCCCCTAGAATGTTTAGTGAAAAAATAACTAATAATGGTTAAAAACGTACCTTGTCAGACAATCCTTGACATGTTTTATAGTGTCGAAAATAAACTTGCTACATGTTTCGGTGGTTATTAAATTCCATCATCGTCAGGCACACAAAAGGAACCACTTCTTGAGGTGTCGTCAGAGTTGTTACATACATTTAACACAAACACAAAACACGAAACGATTAAATACACGGTAACAGATAGGCCTATCAACTTATGCACGTACATTGCCGCGGGCAGGACTGGAAGTAGACAGAACCAGGTTATTGAGGAAAGACGTGGACTCTGGATTGTCGTCTGCGTTATAACAGCTGATATAGGACTATTGTAGTGACGGAGTAGAGTGTTGAAAATATAATGGGATTCATAATTGAGTTTTTCATTCAAAATTTGTGTGTTGTCCCTGGCAAGTTTATTTTCGACACTATAAAACATGTCAAGGATTGTCTGACAAGGTACGTTTTTAACCATTATTAGTCATATTACGCAATCCTGGGGCTATAAAAATGAATTATAATTGAAAAAATAAACTGTAATGTTTCAAAACAATAATGTAAAAACCCTAACTACATATAACGAACAGAAATAGTTGAATAGACAATGCATTTCAACACATTAGAGACCAAAGAAACACAATTTATAAAACTGTCTTGGCATTTTTCTTGGATAGTGAGGTTATAAAACATAATTTTAGAAGTATCTATTAAGTACGGTTGATTTGCCCGGGTTAATCGAGGTCCTACTGTATTACTTTTCCAAATCTTTTCCGAAGGTTTTGGCGGATTACTAAGCTTGGCGGATTACTAAGCGTGCCGGATCATAGGAAGTTTTCTGTACATGACAGGCTTACATGAGTATTTTTACATACTAAGTAAACAATCTTGAGTAAACAACAAAGAAATGTCAATTATCCAACAATTTAAACTGAAAGTTAAAAAAAATTCTTAAAACGTCTAATCCTAATTCTTAAGTCTAATTAAGACAAAGCACAGATAATATAACGGGTTATATTATCTGTGGACAAAGTCAGAAAGATGTGCGCACTGTCATCGGTTGACTGTCGAGTTAGTAAGGTTCTACAGTACTGTACATTTCCTTTTTTAGAAGGAAACCCATAATATTAGAGATATTAAACTTAAAAATAATCAATGAAACTAATTCTTGTGCTTTATTTATAGTACCTGCACAAATAGCAGCAATTATTCCTCCGGTCTCCTCTTGTTTTGAGAGCACTGATCCAACTTCAGTAGACTTAAAAACAGAGAACATTCATTTCAATGTGGTCCAACTCTAGTTAAGTACCTATTGAGACTGACAAAATGCCAAAACTTAACCCTAGAGTAGTGTCTTGATTTTTATCTCACATTTAGAGCCTTAACAAATTTATGTGTTATCGCTATGTGTAATTGATTTATTGCCATTTATACATGATTTGTAGTTGTTTGAGCAAAGTGAAACTCACCCAGCAAAATAAATTTGCTTTAATATCCTTATTGAAATTTTGTAAACAGGCTTCAATGTATTGTTCAATATAGGACCGATTTAGTCGTCATTTATTACACAAAGTAATAATTAAATTAATATCAATAGCAATTTTATGTATAGAATAGAATAGAATAGATTTATTGGTCATTCAGTAATTACACTATAATTACAATAGACTTCGTCAAGTTTAAACAATAAGTAGTCATAATACACAAGAGTCATAAATAATAATCTCTACCTATACAAACGTTACCGTGCTTATATTATAAATGTATAAATTAAAAATGAATATTGTATGCATCAATCACTGTGTGCGTAGTAGGGAGAGACGTGTTAGTGGCAAGGCAGGCCCCGAGCGTCGGCGGGTCTCAAATTTTGCATCCTCTTCTACCTAATTTATTTCCAAAACTATTCATCATTAATTTTTCCAAAAAATATATGTTATGATTCAACTCAAGCTCTCAAACTTTGCCGCTGACGAAACTTTCCTGACCAAAAAATAAAAAAAAAATTCTAGGTCGCTTACTTTTTCATGTTCTAATTCTTAATTTTATAATTTCTTTGGGTTTTGGCGGCTGTTAAACTTACAATAAAATTATTTGTTGTATTCCAACCTTACTGTCAGTGAGATGCACTAATTTATAGTAGCTGTGTCAAATTTGGTAATTTTAAGTCTTCTCCAAGTGTGTCTTATCATCATACATTTGGAAAAGGTGATCTACTGCTATATGCAGCAGTTGCCGTCACTTGCCCGTATAAGTAGTGGGGGATTGGCTTCACTGCCCGCAATGCTTGCTGGATATATGTAGCCCCTCTATTTCTATTCTGTGCTCTCTGCTCACACAGAAATCACTTTTAAAACAACTTTTTTTATCAGGGGGCCCAAAACGGATATATATCCACCCAAAACTCAAACTGGAAAATTTTTACATAGACAAATCTTTTATCATATTAACTTGTAGGGAGTGACAGTAAAAGTTATTTCAAAAATTTTGAGATATTTACCTAAATAAACTTAATACTTCATGTTTTTTTCCATTCTCAAAGTTAACGTAAACACAAAGCCTTTGAAAAAGCTTAATTCAATTCTCAAAGTAAACTAAATTGATGTCCCAAGTTGCAACATCAAACCCCCTTATGGTCACCCCTGGGAGACACCAGTGTGGCCCCTAGCGGGGGGAAAAGGAACTTGAAAATATTACGTCATCGGACTCACAGACCGAAGACACCACTATAGAGTTAACAGTAATACGGAAACCCTGCCTATACTGACACTAAGAACCGAAACTCCCGGTCTATGAGACCCCATTTGAAAATTATGGGCCCCGCTTAGAAGCACACAAACCGAAACCCTGGGCCTGTGAGACTCCGCTTTAAAAAAACACTAACGCTGGGCTTCTGAGACGAGCATGTTATAAACAGACAACCTGTCAAGTATGTAAATTGGAAATTTATTTTTTTTTTTTGGGGTAATTCTGTGAAAGTTCAAAATATTGTTTTAAAAATACATTTTTTTTAACAGTGGCTAAGTTTAGTGGTCTTAACAAGTTAAAATTCATTAAAACTCACTGTGGCAAACTTCTTATACCCCATACCGCCTGGGAGCACGACAGCATCGTAGGGGCCTTTCTTGACAGCCTCAGCCAGACTTGTGTCCGGCACGATGACCACATCCCGGCTACACTTCACTGGGTTCGAACCTTCAACTCCAGCCACAACCACCTTGACCTGGACCATCCAATTTTGTCATACCATCTCATCATAATATTTAGCCTAGGCCTACTTAAAAATTTATTTACCTGGACACAAAAACTAAACGGTAAAAAGAAAGAACTATGTGTTGTTTGGTTGAAGCCTAAAAAGAGCAATTTTTTTTAAACATTATTGCCACCAGGACTGATGTAGAATGATATGATAGGTTACGTACCTTTTTTATTCCGTCGTCAGTCCTAAAATAGTCAAAGGGTGACTAGTTTCGGGTCAGAAATGACCCATTTTCATCAAATTGATTGGTCCAAAATCTGACAGAAGTCTTCGTTATGAGGTACAAACACATGTCGACACATAAAGTTCACACATTTAAGACACAAAGCACATTAAATGAAAGTAGCCGGCTACATTTTATAAGAGACACACTGACGCAGGTAGCACGGCGGACACGACGGAACTAAAGTTCCGTTCTTAGTTAATATATATTATCCATAAACAAGTAAAATACAACAATTTTCATTTCCTCCATATGAATAACATGGGAATTTTAAATTACATTTTTTTAAATTTTTTCTGTGACCGTTAGGCATACAACAGCGCTTAAATATACTAAATTATTTATTTTTTTAAGCTCTACAAACTGGTTTTGAAAATAAATTGCAAAAATATTATTTATAGGGTCAAAAATGGGAAAATCCGATTATGCTGGATCTCAAACTCGTACACCCCGTACACTTTGATTTTAACGGAATCTAATCTACTTAATGTGGGCAAGTGATCAGTGAACCGGGTGATTATATAAAAAATTAAAAAGAGCAGGAGATGTAGGGCCTGGAATTGTACCCCCTGCCAACATCAAATTATTTATGTACAGTGTGGAATTGTACCACCCTCTTGGACAGGTAGTGTACGGGCTGGGAATTGTACGCCCCCCCCCCCCCCCCATAAGCAACATCTTCAAACGTCTTTCAATAAACTTAAGTGGTAGGCCTGTTATTAAAATGAAATCGTAGTGAATGCCTTCTAAAAAGTGACATATGTTGGATCGATTTTTAAGACTACTAGTGTACCTGTTGCTCGGATTCGAGCAATTGCGAAGTATTACAGGAGTTATTTTAAAACTAATAACAGTTAATTAATAATTTCTGATGACTAAAAAGAGTCGACTCAAAGATTATGGAAATACTTAGATGTACATAACAGTTCGATATAATCAACATTTCTTACAAAAATATCTTATAATTTTTCAAAAGCTGATCTTGATTTTAGTGTTTTCTAAAAATTTTTCCCACTCATAACAGCATTAGGTTGTCCATAATAACGATTATAAATTCTAAAATAAACATTATTTCTATTTCTTCTACTTGGTGGTGTTCTATGAGTTACCTATGTTTCCATAGTTTGCAAATACGCCTCTTTCAATGAATTCTCAAGAAATGCAGCACAGTGCTAATTCAGTTTTCTTTTTAGTGTATCAAATTGTCCAGGCTTTCTCGCTTCTTTCCATTGTAATATTTACGACCAACACAAATTCAAATAGTAAATATTTCATTTCAACCAAGTCAGTAAATGTTTGTAACACACGTTTCCTTAAACTGCAAACTAAAATATTTTAACAGCAACTAAATTATCCAGTTGATAATAATGTACCCGGTAAACAAATATATTCTTCATTGGATAACATGGGAACTTAAAAGCCACTGCGACAAAGCCCAAGGGACTTTTTCAAAAATATTTATAATTTTGAAAAATACAATCATGTAGCGTATTAATAATAGGCCTATATAGATAATCACTTTTAAACATTCATTTCATCACACCGAATGTAACCAACACTACATGATAATTCAGTAAAATACCATGTACGGTAAGGTAAATAAATTCAACTATAGGCCTATTATTGCACTTACGATTAATTAAATCCATTATGTAAGATAAACGTTTTTAATCTCACTTGGTCGGGATTTGCTTTCAAAACGTGATCGAAAATGTTTGCGGTAGGTATTTGTAAAAAACTATTTGTTTATAAACATATCAGTGACAGCTAGAAAAAATAATCTTGATCCTAACAGCTGTTCGTTATTTCATATGTGATTAAGTTAGGCCTATGTGATAACAAAATTGGACAAAACTTGACAAAAATCGCACCAAACTGCATTTTTGAACGTCCGTAGCCTAATTTTATTTAAAAAAGTAGTGAGGCCATATTTTAATGGCTAAAGACACTCTCGCCAATCCAGTGAATACATTAAAATGACTTGACTCTTGATAGGTACTCTCGTTTTCCTGGAGAAGATAGAGTAAAATGCCATCTTGAGTGTTACAGACGGACAGAACGACAGACAGACAGAAATAGAGATAAGACTCGTTCTGCTTCTCTAATTTATAAAACGTAAAAATAACCTAAAAATATATAACTTAATCCTGAGCAATATTCAGACAAAACTATAGGCCTAGGCCTAATTTTATTTACATAGATATCGTTTGGTTTGATGAGGTAAGGTTAACCTAACCTAACTAACCAAACGATATAGTTACTGTTGTGTATTGTAAGTTTATATTGAAATAAATAGTTAAATAAATGTAAGTTGAAAATGAGCTTTATTTTGTCACTGGTTTATTTACATTAATTGAATCACATTTTTGAAAATAACATAGGCCTATGATTAAATTATTAAATGCATAGCATTTGAAACATAGAGATACAACAGTTTCTTCCCCACTAAATTTGATTCAAAAGTCCAGTCTTTTCCGTTGCTTTCTCGTTCTGGCTGATTTGCGAGGAACATCTGTTGAAGCATTGTCATCTGTTTGAGGATTATTAAGTTATGTTCACTGGGTTGAAGCCTGATTTCTGCATTTTCAAGTTGATCATTGTTATCTTCTCTGCGTTGAAGCCTGATTTCTATATTTTCCAGATCATTGTCCTTGAATGTCACGTTCTGTTGTTGCGAACTGGTATTTTCTTTAGGAGATGAGCTGGAGTGTGTTTTGTCTGCTGTTTCTGGCACTGATGTTCTCTTCAACTGATCGATGTGTCTCTTGCCAAAGTAACCTTTGTCCAGTTTGACTTTGTAGTGCAGAGCTCCAAGTTGAAAAATAACTTTTCCGAACTTCCAGCCGTCTAAGGAACGTACTAATATTCTCTCCCCCACTTTAAATGAACAGCTTACTTGTTGAAAGCCTGGATGTAATGATGTGTTTTTCTTAGGAGGTTTGAGAGCATCTAGTTTTGTTCTGATCTTTCGATTCAAATACAGTTCAGCCGGTGATTGTCCGCATTGTAGAGGTACAGCTCGGTAGCAAAACAGTGTATTGAATTTGTGATTTAATATTCTTTAGAGGATCTTCAGCACAATTATTCAAAGATGTCTTTAACGTTTGCACATAGCGTTCCGCTAACCCATTGGTTTCTGGGTGTCCTGAGGCGATAAATTTTTTAAATATGCCTAGCTTTGTCGGCAAAAATCTGTAAATTCTTGACTAGTAAAAATTGTGGCATTATCAGAAACTAGTAGGCCTACAGCAGGATATCCATGTGTAGAGAATATATCATTTAGAAATTCTATTGTCATATCCGTGGATGGTGCGTTTTTGGTTATTCGAACTTCAAGCCATTTAGATTTAGCATCAATCACTACTAGGAAATGGTGTCCATTAAATGGTCCTGCAATAGTCCATGTGAACTCTTTCAAAGTTTTCCTTAGGGATTTCCCAAGGGTGAAAAACTTTTGTTGGTTGTTTTGACTGCAAAGCGCAAGCTGCACATGATCGAACTTTATTTTCAATGTCTTTGTCGATTCCGGGCCAATAACAGTGGAGTCTTGAGAGTCGTTTCATTCTTACCATTCCTATGTGTGTTGCATGAAGCTCTTCTAAAACATGAAGCCTCATCCCATCCTCGTTGCCATTTCTGTTGTGTTTTGTAAGTTTATATAGGTATTGAAAAAAATAGTTAAATAAATGTAAGTTGAAAACGAGCCTTATTTTGTCACTGGTTTAACTTATTTACATTAATTGAATCACGGTATTTGAAAATAACATATGATTAAAAATGCATAGCATTTGAAACATAGAGATACAACAGTTACCTATCCAATGAAACAATTAAATAGGCTAATCGATATTTTCATTTGGTTGTTTGTGCCAACAGATAGCCTACGAAAGTCTACCCCGATACTTGGCTAAAAACATCAGTAGTTTAACCTAACATCTTAACTTACATCGATGTAAAAAACATAGAACTTCAGAAACAGCATCGACTAAGTTTATCGATGCTCGACCCTAAGTTAGTGGAGCGTAAACTTCCCATCTAGGCCCTAACCAATAATTTTCAAAGTCGGATATCAAAGTTTCACCCCACAGTGCAGTGTGCATCACACTGCTCCTTGGCAAATGATGAGGCCGTTGTGAAAACTAACTCAAATCTTTAAGAATCAATCAATCGAGCATCTAGAAGTTAAGTTAGGCCTACTTGGGTAATGACTAAGTTTAGGATATTGTCATTACTAGGCTAGAAGCAAACAAACTTTCTTACCCCAGCACGACGAAGTACATCTGCTGTTATGGTAAATTCCATCTCCTCAGTTCCTTCTACAATTAATACAAGAGCAGATTTTGCCATTCTAGGTGCAGTTGAGAAATTATTTGATGTTGGAACACAACTGATACTACTCTGACTCTTACTACAAGGTCTAAAGATAAGCCGGCTTGATAGTAAAATTGAACTGAAACCTGAAACAGAACTGATATTAAGGAGTTTGACTAGTTTGAGTTTGTTGAAGTTAAAAAATCTCCTTATCAAGGTCATGATCGTTCAGGTCTTTTACTTGGCTTCGAACTTTGAACAATACAGCTGCAACCAACACAACCTCTAATAAAAACTCTTAAGCTCCCAAAGGCATTGGTTTTAAACACGGCCACCTTTAACTTCAGGCCACGGCCTTCGAAGGGGCAACATCGCAAGTAAGTAGGGTTGTATCAGCTGTTTTGTTTGTTGTCAACTAGAGCTAATGCTATTTGTGTTTTTTAGCAGAGCGAAGCTAAGCTCTTTAGGTCCTTTGGGATCTACTTCAATGCAATTACTTGCAATGCTTTGCTTGCAATGCTTTACAGCATTTAATCTCAATGATGGCTGAACATATTTTAGCCAAACGTACCAAGATTGTTTGTGCGTGTTCTTAAATTTACACAAACGGTTACCATTCAGTTAATGGTACAACTAATATGAATAACAGAAGGCTCTAACACCCCTCCTCTCCAGGAGTCATATAGAAATGATTGTAGGACATCCTAGATGGTACTCCTTCAAGAAGTGTTGTAAACTCAGTGCTGTAAATCACTCTAATTCTAGAAATGTTGGGATTTTAAGTACGAGAGAACCAAAAATGAAACGGTAACTCAATACAACAAGATTGGGTTCAATGTCGTCAAGTTTGCAAGGGCCTGGTCTCGTTCCCCATATTCCAGCTATCCAAAATTAAGTGTGTCCTGTGTGTCTTTCGATAAACAGATGTTCTAAGACTGTTCAAATGCTTTTTACGCAAATGTCCAAAAAGGGGAGTTTGTTTTGTGATTCCACCTCCATGGTTAGTTTTATGGAAGATGAAGTGCTATTAAGGTGCTCTAAAAACTCATTCAATTTATCATCTCCATGAGGGAAAACCACGAAAGTGTAATTGACATACCTCCACCATATCTTCGGTTTTAGTCGAGCTGAAGCCAAAACTTTTTGCTCAAACTCCTCCATAAAGATGTTGGGGAAGATAGGTGACTATGGTGACCCCATGGAGTGGCTCTGTAGTTCCCCATGTTAACCTTATGAGTATTCATATTTAAAGGGAATTAAAGAATTTAGTCAGCTGTTACAACTAAAAAAGTTGGTTCTATGATATGCAAAAGCATTAAAATTAAAGTTATAAGATTTACCAACAGGGTGCAGCACTATATTTTTTTGCATTTATGAAAACAGCTGTACAGCTGTGTGTATGAAACTGTGATACGCAATGGGAACTAACTGTCAAAGTAGGATTGTTAACAGTTTATGTTTTTAATTTCATGAATAACTTGTGATAATTTGGGAATTTTTGATAATTTATTTTTCTCTATTGTTTAGGTGAAGTGGTAGCACATTATGGCTATGGTAGATGTGTACTATTATAAAATACTGTAAATTCAAAGAAGCAAATTCTATCAAACTGTGTCCTCCCTCATTGCAAACGCAAAGCTTTAGTATAACTGACTATTAGTGTGTTGTTCGTCAATTTTAAGACTAAACCTGATTTTAATTTGACAATATTGTCTCTGTGCTAACTACAATAATTAAGATGGAGCGATAACACCGCTATATCTCAGCTATATCGCTATGTTATCTCTGACCGGAGTCAAACGCATCAAAGTCGTTCGCGCCAAACTATATTTTGTAAAACTATTATTTAACGTTCTCGCATGTAAACCATAAACCTTTCATATAGACTAAAGCAGAATGGTCTGGAGTTTGTGCCCCCTGATCTTCAGTCTGTGTACCGTCCCACTAGTTGACTCCCTGAAGTACCCTTTCCCTCGCTACCCAAAAGCCCGGGATAACCTCACGGCGGTGGTTCTGGTGGCTGATGGGTCCGAGGAACTGGAAGCGGTTTCTGTCGTAGAGCTTCTTCGGAGGGCTGGGGTGAGTTCTTCCGTAATCAAATATCAGGACTATAAGAAATGGGTCAAGGGCAATATGACTGGTCCGATCAGCTGATCTGTGAAATGATTGAAGTATCGCAGTTGTGGGTGATTGACCTTAGACGATTATTTATTGTTATGGACATAATCGGTTTAAAAATACCCAATGTATGAAAGTGAATGAAAGGGCTCAAGTTCTGAAAGTATTTTAATAAGAAAGAATAATTGATAAGGTAAATAATAAAAATGTTTTTTATAAAGTAGTAGATTGATAGTGTTCGAATAGGAAAACTAACGAAACTTTTTTACCTGGTGAGATGGGTCGAGCCCCTCCATAGCCTACACAAATGTCAGGACTAGTACCGCTCTAAGAGATGGGTTAAGGGCAATATGACTGGCCCGATCAGCTGATATTTTAATTGACTGAACAGTGAATACATATTGCAAAATGAATCGGTTGTGTGTAATTGACCTTGAAAGTATATATTTGTGTAAACAGGTTTGAAGGGTCTTGAAATGGTTTGAGTGAGACTGGATTAGTTAGTTAGTTAACTAATAACGGATTCTATAAGACATTTATTTGGTGAAAAGTGTCACACACAATAAAATCCATCGTTACTCATCATGTTACCTGTGAATTCACTCATGAACCTCGATGTTATTAGCTAATGGTTTACCTGAACTCAACACTTAAACCCAATTCATAAGTATTAATAAAGACGTGTCTGAGGGCTGAACAATGTGTTGCATTTTGTAAAAATGTTACAAGAAGAAAAGTAAAAAAAAAGAAAAGCTAGATAAGGTATTTTTTTTTTATAGCCCGCAATTTCTTATTCCTAAAACTTATTAGATTCTCAAAATATTTTCATGATTTACGGGATGAAGTTATTAGATTGGAATGAAAAATGTATCGCCTATTGCCCAGAACAGTAACACGTATTATTTATTTCTGGTATGTCACAGAGTATAACATTTAAATATAAATAGTTAGTTATCTAGTTAGTTATAAGTTAGTTTTTAAATGATTTGTATTCTTAACTTCTGCTATTGTAAATAGCTTCCCTGTCCAGTTCGGGGTATATCCTTTACTAAACACATGTTTATACTTGGAAATTCTTACGCTATCACCCACCTTATATCTTGGCTTTTTAACTTGCACTTTAAAAGTCAACCGCTCATGCACATATTTACTGTTCTTAACACTTGGTTAGGCTTCATTCCTATAGATCTATGCACCTTATTATTATATTTTCCAATTAACTTTGGAAGTAAACCCAACAATTTATAACTCCCCTGAGAACTAAATTCTCTATACAGGGTGAATAAAAAGTCAAGACCCCCCCCCTCTAATATTTTTCCTAGTAAATATACAGAGATATCCTTTTGGTAGTCGAGCAATCTTAGCAGGAAGTTTCATTTTATCATTTTGAAATTTTTGAGGGTCCCCCAAAAGGGGGGATTTGGGGGGCAACTCAAATATTTTAAATGTAAACCCCTTCAAGTGACACCTCATTTTGAAGTGTTTACAAAAACTTAAAGAATGGTGAAAACTAGAGGTCGCTATCTCTTCTCTATCCAAAATGGTAGCCCGTCAAATGTTGTGGAAAATCAATGGTAAAATTGTTAATATTGGCTGCCATTTTGGATAGAGGAGAGATAGCGACCTCTAGTTTTCTCCATTCTTTAAGTTTTTGTAATTACTTCAAAATGAGGTGTCACTTGAAGGGGGTTTACATTTAAAATATTTGAGTTGCCCCCCAAATCCCCCCTTTTGGGGGGACCCTCAAAAATTTCAAAATGATAAAATGAAACTTCCTGCTAAGATTGCTCGACTACCAAAAGGATATCTCTGTATATTTACTAGGAAAAATATTAGAGGGGGGGGGGTCTTGACTTTTTATTCACCCTGTATAACCATTTCTTTAAAGTTCTCTGAAACCTCTCCACAATTAGTTGTAGAAAAAGTGTGATAGTGATTAATATTTAATTTTTTCATTAGTTTGCTAAAATATTGATTACAAAATTATTTTCCATTGTCAGATTGAATGTTTTTAACCCCCTTTGGTAGAATGGTTTTAATGGCTTCTGTAACCACCAACCCTGTCTTATTCTTTAGTGGAGCAGCATAAACTTTTTTAGAAAATGTATCTATTAAAGTTAAAATATATTTATTGCCAGATTTTTAACCATTTTGCCATATCTCAAATAGTTTTCGAGATAAGTATTTTAAAACAATATTATGGACTTTAAAAATGTCAAGGTGTGCAAAAATATCAAAAAGTCTGGACTTTGAAAATTTTCGTGATAACTGTTATTTGTACCCATATAAAATAATGTTAAATTTTTGGGAATTTTTGATTTTTTATGTTGTAATATTGTTTGTAATCAAAAGTTGACACCCGCTATGTGTGCCAAAATTTCAACCGTTTTGCCATATCTCAAGCCGTTTTCGAGATATAAGCATTTTAAAACAATAGAATTGTGCTATTGTCACCGTTGCCTAGCAACTATTTATTTTTATTTTTGATGATTCCTCAAATTATTTCTTCACACAACCTTAAATTCGTAGTTGTGTTGACTATCAGTGTGCATTATTATAGTGGTGAATAGTGGTAATAGGATATAGTGTGGTGAAAAATAGCGTTCGTACCGCGGACCGGAATGGTTTTGCAGGCTCTCGATCGATTTAAGTTCTCGACTTCGTCTCGAACTTAAAAAACTATCTCTAGCCAACAAAACCCCTAGGTACGAAATATACTATTTTCTATGGAGGACTACACATTCTATATAACAACTATATTAGCCTTGTGAGGTCTGTAATTTTTGGTATCGATTACTAGAAAGTTTAACTACAACTAGAGAACCTGGCGCACGAAATCGTGCGCAATTTAGACAGAGGAGAAGAAGGATTTGTATTAATTTTTTTTATTTGGTGTTTTCTCGTTTCTTGGTTTTGTTGCTAAAGCTGGTGATGGTAAAAGGCCTAATTGAGTTCGCAGTTTACCTGCCGTTTTTTGCAGTTTGTTTTGTGAAAGTCAGTAAAAGATTCTCTTTTGATTAATTGATGATAACCTAAATAATAAACCAAACCCCCCTCGTTCCCACCACCACCTCTGGCTGAAGTCTGGGACTTATTTTCCGTGAAAACTCTTCTCTGCATACTCAAATGTTTACTTTAAAATCTTTCAATCCTAACATCCTTACCCTAGAACTTGCATCCGTAAAGCATTGCTAGCTTAACACCCTTTGTACAGCGTCCATCAAATGCTTCCCATTCATGCTTCTATTTTCTCTGGCATGACCTGATAATTTTATGAAGACTCCTTTCATTTTTTTGTACATTTCCTCCACATGTTTTTAAAATTGATTTCTTTACCTTCCTTAATCAAGCCTTACGACAAATCAAGATTCCTGTTTAACACAATAATGAATTGTGTTTTCCAGAATCTTTGGGACCCACCCTTCCTAACTTCAGATATAATCAAATATTCTTTTTGGAGGTGAAAGACATGTTTAAAACTAATATCAATAACTTCAGATCATTATTCTTGTACACTTATCATAAATACAGAAGAATGTATATGCCATCTCTTACAATAGATAAAATTACATAAAATATATTGTTCCTTGGATATTGATATTCTCCACTCATTAAATATAATCATTTTATTTTTAGTTTCAGTAAAACAAGAGATCTTAAAAATCACAAAAATTACGTGTTCATTACGTGTAAATTCACTGAACCCTATAATAACGTTAATAACGTGTTTTGCAGTGAAACACCAATTAATTGTAAAAAATAACAGTGTACATTTTTATCTCATCAAAATCTTTGTCATGTTTCCATTAATTTCAATTTGAGTATAACCAGCTGTTTCAAATATTAGTGTAAATTTCAAAGTATTCATCTGTTCAAATGTAAACAAACATTTTCTCCATAAGGATAACATGGTAACTTTGAAGGCCACTGGGGCAGAGCCCTGATGGAATTTCAAAGATTTTTTGATAGATGGCAAATCTACGTGCTACACCCTCTCCAACGACACCTCAAACTTGGTAGCAGCTTCAAAACAATTATGACAAAAATATGCCTAGCGTATTAAATATATAGATTAGATACGCAATTTACAGAAGTTTTATAGATCAGGACGACAGTCGCCGGTGTAGCTGGAGCGGATCCGGTTACATGCAAGTACGGCATGGTGCTGACTCCTGACTGTAGTCTCGCCGAGGCTCTCACCAGAGGTCTCTACGACGCCGTCGTCATCCCTGGGGGCGAGGAAGCGGCTAACTACATGTCTCAGGTACGATAGAGAGTCTAGACTAGAGCACATATAGAGTCATTACCTTAAGTTCAAGTACTGAGACTTATCGTCTAAGCTCTAAAGAAGGTCCACGGAGTAGAGGAGTAGAGTATGATTTAGGGACGACTCCTCAGGGTAAGTACTGATCCTTGAAACTATTCATATTTATTTTTATTTATTTACTTCGAATATCTACCAAATCCTAAGAGGACATCTGAAGCGCGAGGTTTTCATATTCGTTTTGTGTTGGCAACGTTTGAGTACACTGATCTGGACCAATAAATAGTATTTTCTATTTCCCAAAATGTACTTAATATTTTACAATACCATTTGTATGTTTACTTACGGTATCAGAATCAATTATGACGTGAACTATCAAATTGTTTGGACTGCAGAATGTTTTGATTTAAATTACTTATTATGATTTTGTTTGTTTTTCAGTCTGAAGAAGTTGGTCAACTACTTTTGAATCACGAAAAAGAAGAATGCTATTTTGGAGCTCTGTCTGCGGGTATCTAAATGTCACTCACACGTAAACTTATGATATATTTTCATCTACTCTAAATTGTTAGTGGAAAAAATAGGATGCTATTTTAGAGCTCTGTCTGCGTGTATTTAAATGTCACTTACACGTAAACTTATTATTATTTTTATCTACTCTAAATTATTAGTGGAAAAAGGAAAATGCTATTTTAGAGCTCTACCTGCGGGTATTTAAATGTCACTCACACGTAAACTTATGATTTATTTTCACCTACTTTGCCAGTCAATAATTATTAAAACAACACTTATTGTTGTTCGTTACGATATTGTTTTTGTTAAGATTTGCAAGTTGATGTGCTTATATAGACTAAATAATGAACTGTTACAGGACCACTAGTGTTGAATGCTCACAACATCAAATACCTGTGTAGACTGACCTCAGCCCCGGAGTACATGGAGAAGCTACATACACACTACTCATACTATAGCCATGAAGACACTATTGTTGACGGTAGGCAAGGAAACCCATATCCTACAGCGTCATTAAGTTAGTATCCTTCATCTGATTGTACGACAAGATGACTATTTTCAATTATGTCTACTGGTTTTTAAATTAAAGTTGAATAAGGGGAGATATGTATACGCACAGTAGGATTATAATTGTAATCTTAGCATTATTAGAAACTAAAGTTCCTTTTTTGTTTAGTTTGATTGCTATTATAAAATATACAGGTTGATCCAAAAAAGGCTCTCATCTAAACTGCTGCTTTAACTTAACTTCTATTTTAAAGGACATCACTCCACAACAATGTTCAGGAAAGGTTGAAAACATGCAAAGACGAATGGAATACGTAATAAACAATGGTGGAAAACATGTAGAGCACATAGTTTGAAGATAGAGTAAGTTTGTACAGCTACATAATAATTAATTGCCGTGAATTGTAGAGTAGCTTTTTGGGCCACTTTGTATATTGTCATAGTACTCTATTTCTTTGTAGGATTTTGTAATTTTTTTATTTATATACGTTTATATTCTATGTTGGGAAGGTGACAGTTTGATATTCAAAAATAACGTATTTTAGAAGTTCTGAATTGTTGTGTCTTGATTCAGTTTCTGGAAGGTTCTGACATTTCTATCAAAGAAGAATAATTTCTAATTTGCTCTTGTTATTCTTGTTCCAGTGTCAGCGCGAGTAGTGACGGGTCGCTACCCTGGGAGAGCCTTCGAGTTCGTCTTATCTCTTATCAACCACGTGGCTGACCTTGAGACAGCCAACAAAGTCTCCTATGACATCCTCCCCTACACTATGGTCTAGACCGTCAACTATCAGACACATAGCTAGCTAGCCTTGAGACAGACAACAAATACTCCTATGACATCCTCCCCTACACTATGGTCTAGACCGTCAACTATCAGACACATAGCTAGCTAGCCTTGAGACAGACAACAAATACTCCTATGACATCCTCCCCTACACTATGGTCTAGACCGTCAACTATCAGACACATAGCTAGCTAGCCTTGAGACAGACAACAAATACTCCTATGACATCCTCCCCTACACTATGGTCTAGACCGTCAACTATCAGACACATAGCTAGCTAGCCTTGAGACAGACAACAAATACTCCTATGACATCCTCCCCTACACTATGGTCTAGACCGTCAACTATCAGACACATAGCTAGCTAGCCTTGAGACAGACAACAAATACTCATATGACATCCTCCCCTACACTATGGTCTAGACCGTCAACTATCAGACACATAGCTAGCTAGCCTTGAGACAGACAACAAATACTCCTATGACATCCTCCCCTACACTATGGTCTAGACCGTCAACTATCAGACACATAGCTAGCTAGCCTTGAGACAGACAACAAATACTCCTATGACATCCTCCCCTACACTATGGTCTAGACCGTCAACTATCAGACACATAGCTAGCTAGCCTTGAGACAGACAACAAATACTCCTATGACATCCTCCCCTACACTATGGTCTAGACCGTCAACTATCAGACACATAGCTAGCTAGCCTTGAGACAGACAACAAATACTCCTATGACATCCTCCCCTACACTATGGTCTAGACCGTCAACTATCAGACACATAGCTAGCTAGCCTTGAGACAGACAGCAACTACTCCTATGACATCCTCCCCTACACTATGGTCTAGACCGTCAACTATCAGACACATAGCTAGCTAGCCTTGAGACAGACAACAAATACTCCTATGACATCCTCCCCTACACTATGGTCTAGACCGTCAACTATCAGACACATAGCTAGCTAGCCTTGAGACAGACAACAAATACTCCTATGACATCCTCCCCTACACTATGGTCTAGACCGTCAACTATCAGACACATAGCTAGCTAGCCTTGAGACAGACAACAAATACTCATATGACATCCTCCCCTACACTATGGTCTAGACCGTCAACTATCAGACACATAGCTAACTAGCCTTGAGACAGACAACAAATACTCATATGACATCCTCCCCTACACTATGGTCTAGACCGTCAACTATCAGACACATAGCTAGCTAGCCTTGAGACAGACAACAAATACTCCTATGACATCCTCCCCTACACTATGGTCTAGACCGTCAACTATCATACACATAGCTAGCTAGCCTTGAGACTGACAACAAATACTCCTATGACATCCTCCCCTACACTATGGTCTAGACCGTCAACTATCAGACACATAGCTAGCTAGCCTTGAGACAGACAACAAATACTCCTGTGACATCCTCCCCTACACTATGGTCTAGACCGTCAACTATCAGACACATAGCTGGCTAGCCTTGAGACAGACAACAAATACTCCTATGACATCCTCCCCTACACTATGGTCTAGACCGTCAACTATCAGACACATAGCTAGCTAGCCTTGAGACAGACAACAAATACTCCTGTGACATCCTCCCCTACACTATGGTCTAGACCGTCAACTATCAGACACATAGCTAGCTAGCCTTGAGACAGACAACAAATACTCCTATGACATCCTCCCCTACACTATGGTCTAGACCGTCAACTATCAGACACATAGCTAGCTAGCCTTGAGACAGACAACAAATACTCCTGTGACATCCTCCCCTACACTATGGTCTAGACCGTCAACTATCAGACACATAGCTGGCTAGCCTTGAGACAGACAACAAATACTCCTATGACATCCTCCCCTACACTATGGTCTAGACCGTCAACTACCAGACACATAGCTAGCTAGCCTTGAGACAGACAACAAATACTCCTATGACATCCTCCCCTACACTATGGTCTAGACCGTCAACTATCAGACACATAGCTGGCTAGTCTTGAGACAGACAACAAATACTCCTATGACATCCTCCCCTACACTATGGTCTAGACCGTCAACTATCAGACACATAGCTGGCTAGTCTTGAGACAGACAACAAATACTCCTATGACATCCTCCCCTACACTATGGTCTAGACCGTCAACTATCAGACACATAGCTGGCTAGCCTTGAGACAGACAACAAATACTCCTATGACATCCTCCCCTACACTATGGTCTAGCTAGACCGTCAACTATCAGACACATAGCTAGCTAGCCTTGAGACAGACAACAAATACTCCTATGACATCCTCCCCTACACTATGGTCTAGACCGTCAACTATCAGACACATAGCTAGCTAGCCTTGAGACAGACAACAAATACTCCTATGACATCCTCCCCTACACTATGGTCTAGACCGTCAACTATCAGACACATAGCTGGCTAGCCTTGAGACAGACAACAAATACTCCTATGACATCCTCCCCTACACTATTGTCTAGACCGTCAACTATCAGACACATAGCTAGCTAGCCTTGAGACAGACAACAAATACTCCTGTGACATCCTCCCCTACACTATGGTCTAGACCGTCAACTATCAGACACATAGCTAGCTAGCCTTGAGACAGACAACAAATACTCCTATGACATCCTCCCCTACACTATGGTCTAGACCGTCAACTATCAGACACATAGCTAGCTAGCCTTGAGACAGACAACAAATACTCCTATGACATCCTCCCCTACACTATGGTCTAGCTAGACCGTCAACTATCAGACACATAGCTAGCTAGCCTTGAGACAGACAACAAATACTCCTATGACATCCTCCCCTACACTATGGTCTAGACCGTCAACTATCAGACACATAGCTAGCTAGCCTTGAGACAGACAACAAATACTCCTATGACATCCTCCCCTACACTATGGTCTAATCTTCAAGACACATGAGACAATTAACTGGGATATCAAACCATCATCATCGTTATTCGTTATTATGAACATTACATTCAGAATTGACAATTTCAATTTATTTAAACAATCGCTTTCCATCCGTGAACCCACTTAATAAGAATACAGCAAGATTCAAGCAAGAACAATAACCTTTTTATCTTACCTGACTCAAATTGATAGCCATTTGTTAGAGCCGAACTCCCATTTTACTTTTAATTTGACAAGCGGACAAAATACGTGCTTGATAAGAAATCCACTACTTTGACCAACCACGTGGGAACAATTTACTCAGATTCACAGTTGTTTGTCGAGATGGCGTTCTAATTAGCGAGTTGTCTGAGTTTATCAGATTGTTCGGTAGATAGCCGCTGGAGCACTGTGAACAGTGTTGCCATATTTCACCGATCCAAGTGGGGTTTCTTGTTCACTGATTGCCTATAATGATAGCACCTTGTCTCATCTGATCGGCGCATCAACTACCGTCAGTTGGCCCCATGGCTTCTATTCCGATGACCATTAATAACCACTCACTGATAATAAGATGGTAATGAAGACATCGTTTTCAGTCTTTAGTCTTCCAGTTTGCTAAAAGCAGGAAGAAGATGAGGGTGGGTGTTGATATTATTTAATAGTTTTGTGTATTGTTTGTCAGCGAAATCAGTAAGCTTTAAAGTTTTATACACCTTGAACGTATGGATTGAAATGGAAATGGAACGTGTTTGGATGAAATGAAACTGTTAAATCCTAACCTAACATAGCCAAACTTTCTGATTATGATACAATCTAATGAAGGTTTACTGATCGAATCAATATTTTCAATAATTGATATCAAGGTAGCCCAGTTAAGCAACTGAACCCGGCCTCCGTTACATCTTGCCGACTACACCCCCATACAGACAGATTAATCTCCCCTGAATAACTCTTATACTGTAGGGAGTCAACTGGCTCTCGGGCCTACCTGGTGGTTTTGACAGTTTGTTATGGCCCACGGCAAAAAAAAAATAGGCTGTCACTCATCCCTTTTCCCCCGTAGCCAATTAACTAGGCTAGAATACACGAAAGACAAATGACCTGGTTTATTATCTACAACTAAAGTTCTTCCATAGTAGCACACTCCTTCATTCCTTAGACTAAAAAGACGTGGCTAAACACCGAAACCGCAAAGTTCCAGTGACCGAAGGCCCTCAAGCAGGTAAAGAAGGGAGCCATTTACGGATTCCGCTTAGCTGAACAGTCTTGCCTTTTCTCTTAATTACCGGAATTGCGAGTACTTGGTTCGGGGGGTGTTTGCACACGCCGGTCGTGCGCAGAGGGAAGGGCACCTGACACTTCCGATGGCAGCACTGTTTCCGTCAGCTGGTTCCGGCGTGCGCCTGCCACACGACTCCCGCCGGCCGTCACAGCGCGGTGCGGCAGCTGGAGCTAGGCGCAGACGGCTAGCAGATGGAACAAATCTATAAGCGTTTTTCATTCAGCATTGTGGATAAACAGGTGCATATCTTGTCTGATATTCTTGGTTTCACAACGGGAATGTATCAGTTGTTTGAGTTGAGGATTTGAAAATATTCGACTACAAAGAATTGCCACTATCAGGATATGGTGATTAGTTAGGCACATGGATGATTGTTTGGTGTGAGATACAAAAGTCAACAAATATGCAATGGCACCTAGAACTAGAGACTTTCCTATCCTCTCAAATTAACTGAAGCGCAAAAGGGCTTCGGTACGGAGGACTCTCCTACAGTACGTGTGTGTAGGATAAAATGTTGATAGATGATAAAATTGCAAGAATTTTTTTAGACAAAGAAAAGCGGCTGATTGCATTTTGATATTACTGTATATTCTGTAAGCATACGAAAAATATTTTTGACACAAACCACATAGGTGCACTATTTTTCTATGCTTTGCACCCTGAATTAAATCCGCTAGCTTACCAATCCAAAAAGCCTACCATAGAAGCCATTACTGTTACATCTTTTGTTAGAATTTGAGGTATTTATAATTATATTTTATGAACAGAACTATTTTTTCGATTGGTAAACTTCATTCGATTTTTTTCATCATCAGCAAGTTTGGTTAGGTTAAGACAATTTAATTTTATAATGAAAAAAATTATAAGATTAATTTTATAATTTGTC